TATGCTTTGGGGCCACATGGGACGTTCATTGAGGGAGAATTTGGTATCTAAGAAATGTTAAACTTTGCGAATTTGGATAAATCCACCACGCGTTTGTGTAGTACACTAGGGAAAAATGAATGATTTACAAAAGCCACTCAAGGCAAGCCTTTTCGCAACATCGAATTTTATCTAGATCCCTCAAGAACACGATACTCGCAATCTGCAGGCCCCTCACCGTTGACATTGACCATATCTTGAGGACACGCGCTCATAATGACAACTAAATCGGCCTCGGCTCTCAAAATGACATACTGGCCTTTGTCGCTGGTAGGAGCACGAATATCAATCCCGCCATGATGGTCCACGGCCACATTCATAAACAGGTTCAGCGGATCAGGGACCCAATCGTCCCTAACCTTGATATCAGGAAACTCTTTCAGTGCTTTGTGCATGTTGTCGTGGCAGCTGTCATGATACCCTACAGCACCCAATTGGCGATAGCGCTCAGCGTGGCAAGCGGGGAAGAGCAGGTCGTGGATACCTGGGGTCGTGTCATCGACAAGTGTCAAGATGGATTTGCGACGAGAACTGTATAACTTGCTTCCCTTGCGCAAGGAGATGCTTGAAAGCATTGCTCGAGTGTGACTCATCGAGAGGTATTCACGGTCATCTTTGGGGTTGAAAGCCCAAAAGTCGATCACTTGTTTTCCATGCGTATTGATGACTTGGAGACTCTGGCCCTGCTTTAGTGGGAGAGCTAAACCTTGCCGGGCGGGAAGTTGAGGCATTATGAACGGTAGACTCAAGAGACAAATAAGTGAGACTAAATAGAGGGGCAAATTGGATCAAGAATGCTTAGAAAGAGCTTTTAATATGGTTTCTAAGCTTGAAACATACTAACGGCTGACAGGGAACTGAGTACATGCGTAGAGATGAGGGGTTGACGTCCTGGTCTCTTACCAATCAGTCACATGATATCAGCCAGAAGCGATGACGTCTTGAACGAAACGAAATGGAGTAAGCGGCCTGACATGATTATTCGAAACATGACATTATGTCAAGCTTTCCCTCTGTAGATTTTAAAGTCGGCAGAGAAATCCTGTTCATCACCTCTGGCTCCTGACAACTGTTCCGATACCAGTCAGAATTAGAAACACGGCACTTGCGCCAAAGAAGAATGCCAAATTAAACCCCTCTTCGATAGAGAAATACACCAGAAAGAGGCCAGAAAGGAGTAGTGACAGGATGGTGAGAGCAAACCATGTCGCTATTATCGCTCTTGTTGGTAACCGGATTAAAGGGTTATCACTTTGTCGGAATGGGGTTCGCCTGTTGATACCCTGGCCAAGCAGAGGTGCTTCTGGATTCCCCTCTACATTGATATTCCTTTGATCAAGACCCTCTCCCCGAAGAGGCTCCATAGCGGTTCTTGTCTTTCTTTTATTAGTACGCAGCAGCGCAGCAAACAGTGAGATGGGTACCTGGTGGCTTCAGGCACCTACTGGCCACCTAGTTGCTATGAATGGCCAATTTCGACAGCGCTATAATAAGAAGGTGGATAGTTAGTGGTGTAAACACGCACTAATAAGTGGCGGCTTCATAAATTAACATAGGGCTAAGATCGACTGGTATATGGGAAAATGGAATATAGATAAAAGATAAAGGACCCAAGAAATGCTGACCGAGGACAGATTTCCCTGATTGGGCTAAACTAAGCACGTGATATGCAATGTTGGGCGGCTATCATCTCACCTGCCCCCGCCTGCTTTGAAGCAGGATTGTACCATAAGTCCTCAACCCTCCGACCCTTTTGTAATGGCGGAAATAATCGGACTTACCGCCAGCATTTTGACCTTCATCGAGTTCTCCGCCGTATTTGTTTCAGCCGTGCAGAAGGTCCACGCAGCTACCGATGGCACACCTCAAGAAATCCGGGAGCTTCTTCAGCAAGCCGATGACATTGCGGATTTGGAGGATAGGCTCACGGTTCTCAAATCGCAGAAAAGACTCACTTCAGCCGAGCTCCGTATCTTGAAGACCGGGGGAGCCTGTCGGAAGACAGCAGATGACATAAAGGCCATCGCGGAAAAGGTCTCTATACGATCTGGTGCGAAACTGAGATTCTTGGAGCATCCGCGCGTGGTTTTCGGGCTGCTTGCATCGCAGCCTGACCTGAAAAGATTACAGGAACGGCTGATGAATCATGAAAAAGCCGTGAAAGAAGCACTTGCCCTACTAATTCGAAAGTAGGTAATACCCATGTCTAGCATGTTAATTCCATTATACCCTTTGCTTCCATTTCCTACCTTATCTTTCTCTATCGCTAAGTACACTTGAACATCAGATTGCTTGGCATCATCACGTTCAGGTTAAGTCTCAATGCTAATCAAGTCCTTGTGCAGTAAAAACCATTCAGAGACAGTTAAAACTTTGGAAGCAATGCGAGAGGAACATTTGTCATACAAAATTGAGCAGTCGGTGAGATTTGACGCCATACAAGAAGAGATATTGGCTGCCTCGCAACAGGCCAGCCACGACTTTATTGAGTTCAAGGGCCAGGTCACAAGCCTTCGAAGCAAGATTGAGAGTCTCGAGAATGAAAGACAAACTTGTGAGAAACAAATTCGCATCTTGAAAAGTCTCTACTTCCATGAAATCAGAAAACGATGGGACAAGATCGACGATGCTGCCGCCCGCACACTTGCTTGGCTTCATGATCCGAGTAAAACATCATTTCTGCACTGGCTTTCATCCGAGACGAATGAGATCTATTCTATCAGTGGCTTGGTAGGTTTTAGTGCCAATCATGACTCAGAGAAGAGCACGCACTAAACACTTTTCTGATCAGCCTGGCAGCGGAAAGTCGACATTGATGAAGTTCGCATTCGAGCATGAGACAACCATTCAGAGCTTGAAACAATGGGCCGGAGCTACAAAGCTTTGCCGGGCAAGCTATTTCTTTTGGAATCAAGGATTCGAAATGCAAAAGTCTCAAATAGGACTGCTTCAATCCCTCCTTTACCAAGTCATGAGGCAGATTCCTAGCCTCGTTTCACTCGTTGATCGCGATCGTCTCGACTACGAACTATGGGACTTTGACGAATTACTATTACTTTTCAACAAGGTGAAACTGGAAACAGCTTCTTCGGTCAAGTTTTGCTTCTTTATAGATGGTCTGGATGAATATGACGGCAGTGAAGAGGGCATAGGCCAACTGATCAAGTCGATCTCCGAATCTCCCCATATCAAGGTTTGTGTATCCAGTCGACCTCGTTCCTTTTTCGAACAGAATCTTTGGTCAAACAAGTATTCTCTAAAGATGCAGGACCTCACGATGGACGATATGCGACTCTATGTGGCAGACGCCCTTGGAGAGCATGTGGACCTACAGCAGCTCCAAGTAGACCCATCCGGGAAGCTTCTGCTCGACCAAATAACAGAAGATGCCAAGGGGGTCTGGCTCTGGGTTCATCTGGTTACAAGAGACCTGAAACTCGCAGTGCGAGGGAACGAGACCATACGGAAGCTTTGCGAAATCGTCCAAGATTTCCCGAAGGACCTGGAAAAGTATTTTGAGCACATTATTCATCGAGTCGACCCTGTATTCCGAAAAGAAATGGCGAGGACATTTCTTGTTACCGTTTTCGAAGTCCAGCCTCTTCCGCTATACGCATTCTATCTTCTGGATGAGGAGATCGAAGACGAAGATTATGCGGTGAAAGCAGAAATTGGTCCACTTGAACCTGCGACTGTTGCTCAGGTCGGGAAAGAGTGGAAAGAAAAGATACACCTACGTTGCAGTGACCTCCTCGTGGTTGATAGCTGCGAACATCCGGTGTTCCTGCAACAGCCCGTCGACTTCCTGCATCGAACTGTTAGAGACTTTCTCAGAGACCAGTATATTCGTCAGCTAGAGGCCGTATTAAGCACTCAGTTCGTCCCACCGATATCCCTCTGTCGCATCTTTTTGTTCTTCCTGAAGAAACAGCACCAGCATAACCTCAACACCAAACAACAGTACAACAGCATGATCGGTCTGGTAGACGAGCTTCTCTACTACGCGCGGGAGGCAGAAAAGCACGAACTCTATAAGGACCAGCCTCTCTCTCCAGTGGCGGAGATATTGGATCAGGTGGATGCAGTTAACAGCACGCTCATGAAGATGTCCAAGACCGTGAGAAATCATTGGACACATGCCAGAGACCCACCGGCACCTCGAGGGCTGGATGAATACAACGAGGGGCATCATTATAACTGGATCTCTTTGGCCATACAAGCACGGCTGGTGAAATACGTGAGAGGGATACTGGGGGCCTATGGAGGCCTTCCGTCGAAAAGTGGTCGGCCGCTGCTCGACTACGCTCTGCGGCCTCGCAGAGTCACACCGATACAAGTTCCATATCACTCACAACGCGATGAGCCAAACATCGATAGGTCCATGGTTAAGCTATTACTAGAGCACAAAGCAAACCCAAACCAGATCGTATATTCTCACCAAGATCGAACTGTCTGGGCACTGTTCCTGATATCCTGCTGGGAGTCGGTGAACCGCCCAGAAGCAACGCCCGTGTCTATCAAAGAGTGGTTTGAAGTCAGCAAACTACTTATAGACTATGGAGCAGAGTCCGATTGTTTCAGCACAACAGATTTGAACTATTTGGGGAGCATGCAAGATGTTCTTGTGGCGATATTTGGTGAGTTGCAGGCTTCGACACTGCTACGGTTAATGGAGAGCAGGCCGCAGAAGACGGAGGGTGGTTGCTTGATACAATAGCACATAGTCATTCTGCTCTCTTGAAGTCAGGACATGAGGACTTAGATATCTGGAGTTTTATAACAATCCTATGGTTATAACCCCGCGAGTAGTTCTACTAAAGTCTTACGCCACATCTAGGAGATTTGCCGGAGTGATTGTTACTGGAGATGCCCACCAGCTTGCTTAACTCTGGAGCTTTTGCGATATTTCTTCCCCTTGAGTCGCTTGCCCGTGGTTTATACCACACAGTTCAGTGTACTTCTCAGACCCAAAGACGCGTTGAATTGACAGACACGTTAGATGTCAAACTTCCGCCCAACGCCGCCGTATACGCCAGATCCCAAGTCAGGCTCGACCCACTGAGGTAGGGACTATCGGTAGTCTGATTCCTGAAGAAGGCATAACTCTCAATGGCCCCGGCCTTGTCTGCAATCGCGAGATTTACATAGATATGACCCGCGAAACCGCCGCTGCTCAGCGATCCAGACTTGTTGCCGGCGAAATACTGATCCCATTCTTCACGTACAAAAGTTGGTTTGCGGACGTAAGCGCTGCTCGGCACAATTGGAAGCATGTGGATGCCCTGGATATAAGCAATCTCGTCGCCAAAGTATGTCGTGTGATTGATCTTTCTGTCCCAGAGGATGCCCGTCGCGCGATTCCCAATAAATTTGGCTGGTTGAACGTCGTTATCGCTTGCCAGGAGGAAATACGACTGTAGACTGCGCGCCGTCACTGCAAGTTGAAGATTTCCACGGGCCTCAAGGTTGGCGTCACCAGTGACTTTACCCCACATCTTGATGGCGTAGGTCGAAAAGGCGTCTTCGGCTGAAGACTCTTGATCCTTGCCGTCAGGGGCCTCAAGGACGCCCCGGGCCCAGCTGTGGCCGTGGAACCAGTCGAAGGATCGTGAAAAGGGAAAGAAAGGGTCTTCGGCCGATGGGTTAGACCAGTCACGGATGAGATTGTTGACCCAAACCTTGTTCACTCCGCCGTTCTTGCTCAGCCAAGAGGGGCTGAAGTGCGCAATGATTGCGGCAGTATACACATAGTAGCCATAGTGGAAGTTATGGTCGTTGTAGTATGTGTTGCCGAAGTCGATTGAAGAGTCCTTATTGTCATAGGACGCAGAAGAGACAAGGCCCTTCCACACGTCATCGTAGCATAAGGGATTTGGTTCTTCGTTCTTGACGTACCTGTCAAAGGCAGCTTCAAGTTTTGCAAGGGAACTAGCCGTGAACGACGTGTCTCCAGCAATGTTATGGACAGCATACAAGGCTCTCGCGTAGACCGAAAAGGCAATTCCACCATAGTACTTTGATGTCAGATTGGTAAGCTTTGTGATATCCCGAGCCAGCTCGACCTTTGCAGCCTTGATGATTGCCGCTTTGGCATCCTGAGATACTGTTGCTGCGGAGCCCTTAGATCCCGCGGATCCTAGACGCGGTGACCATGGATCGAATCCAATGTCAGTAGGAAGTTCATGCTCCACCATAGAGAACTCGTCTGCGAGTACAGCAGTGGCAATTCCCTTGGTTGTGCTGGCCAACGTGATGTTGGTGAGACCCCTCGCGGTCTCTGTATTAAATGAAGCAACGTGATGCGGCAGAGCAAACATGAGCAATGTCCGTTTCTCTATACCCCTCTTCGTCCAGGCCAGGGTATAGATGCCAGTGCGGCCGGAAACAGTGCCCGAGATGGTGGCACCGACTGGGTAGACTCCAGCAGCTCTGTTGAAGATGTCGATACCGGCTGCTCCTGCAGGATTCTTGGCAACTTGGACTGTTCCAGAAAAGCCTTTTGGACCCAAGATCGTTCCTTTGTCAATCATTTGAAGGGTCGGTCTGTCAGACAAGCAAGCGGGAGTAAGGTAGATCAACCAACTCGACCCATCACCCAACCGGACACTCCAACCATACACCGAGTAACTAGGGTCAGCAGAGCTCAGATGGAGATCGGTGATATTCGAGAACCGCTTTTGAGATTGAATAACAACAGTGGCGTTGCTGTAGACAGCAGTGACGAAAGCCATGCCCTGTACGACGGGGAACGATATAAGAGGCTTCGCACCTCTCCTCGGCGCAATTTTCACGTTGGCAGAGAATGCTGTTAGCGAGTCCGTGGTCAAAACTGTTCCATTCTGCAACTCTCGCGCTGAAAGAGCGATCGATTGCCGAAACGCCGGATCTTCCAAAGACTTTACGGGATTTCCGGGTCCGTAGATAAATTCGTCGCGATCCGTATGAGAGATAGACAAGCCATAGCCTTGTTTGACAGGGTCGCTGGACCGCCAGATCGAGTACGGGTGAGTCCATGTAGCATTATCTTGGTTGTTGGCAAAGAAGTTGGCATAGAACTTGTTGGTTTGAATAGGACTATTCTTGTTATCCACTCCAACGGGCATTTGCGGGTGATCTGCCCTGGACGGAACCAGGATAGGTGGGTCGTGAGAGATTTTGACAAAGACGTTATCTGAGCTGAGCTTCAATGCTCCTTCATTAATGCGCGAACCGTCAGCAGCTGAGCGTCTGGGGTGACTATGGGTATGCAATCCATGGTGGTGCCTAGAAGCGTGTACAGCTTCAAACAGGAGAAGGGTTATAAGAAGGCTGCCAAAAAACATATCTCGAAGAGTGGAGTAACGAGGGTAATGGAAATATTATATAAACAGAGACTAGCGATAAATATATAGCTGGACTTGTGTTCATTATTTAAGTTTATAGAACGGCACTTGGTAAAGTTTTCTTAACTCAGGGGAAATTAAGTTAATTAAGATTAAAGCTTTAATGGAGACTTGAAATAAAGATTGCATTGAAACGCGCTAGCAAATCTTAATAGTTGTATGCTGCGTTGCACCAAGCTACACGGACCTTTTATACCAGGCTATTTTAACTTTCATCTCTGCCGCTATCTCGTCAGAGCTTGCCATTCAATATTAACTTCATGCGGCAGGGCTGCCTTCAGCCAAATTGACGCTACACCCTTGGCCGTCTGTGAGAATGGCTGCATTGGGATCGGCAGTAACTCGCTGTTAGTGGCCACGTAAGTCCTGGCTGGCATTCCTTTAGGCTTTAGGAGCGGATATAGAGCCTATAGGTAGAAACGATTGTAAAGACATGGCCACGGGTCAGTTTCTGGTGACTTGCGAAACTATGGCATATCACTGCTACTCGGCATATAATCCAACTTATTCAATTCACTATGTACTAAGAACTATGTCCTGCCTTCTCTTCTCCCTGCGGATGATAGAAAGCTCATCGAAAGCTAACAGTCTCTGAACTCAGAGCATTGACTTAAGCAGCTGTAGCGAAACCAATACGAGAGTTGGTGGTGTCGTATACAGAGTAATAGTTCTCAAGGAACTTCTGTCCAATAATGACGTTGACACCAGAGGAGCCTCCGTCGCCGATCCAGGAGTAGTACTTGCCAGAGGACAAACCAAAGTTGCTGTACTGAGCAGTAGGGACCAAGTACTGCGCGGGCGTGAGGGTGTAGGTTGTCGACCCGAACTTGATACTAAAGTTGGCGGTAGGCTTCTTGGTGAATGCGGCAAGGCCGCTTGAGCTGTCAGTCGAACCACCAGCGGCAGACAGGAACTTGTTGTAGACACTAGTGGGGACGTAGATAAGCGTTGTGCCAGTGTCGACAATACCGCTGCCGGAACCAAGAGTTGTAGATCCATAGGTAAAGCCAGAAACAGAGATACCCCAGTAGGCGGCAGCTTGGCCACTGGTAAGAGTTGGGAAGTAGGTGAGGGAGCCGGTGTACTTGGAGCTGTCGACACCACCAAGGGTCAACTCTCCATTGGCATCGCTATCATCGCTACCAGACTCTGGCTTGAAGGAGACACCGAGGACCTCGGATGAGATTGAGCCTTGGCTATAGAGGTTGTCCATAAAAGTAGGAACGGTGTCGACATTGGAGACAGTGCTCTCAGTGAGATCAACGGGGCCAAAGCCGATGATGCCATCTACACCCGAGAAACCGCTGGCACTGCTAGCAGCACCAATCGACTGCGAAGCAACACTGAGGCCGCCAAAGCTGACCTTGTCCTTGTACTCAGTGCCAGAGAATGAACCAGAGCCATAAGAGACGCTGACAGAGCCGCCTGTAGACTTGCCGGTCGATGTAGGCTCACACTTGGTCTGAGCACCACACCAAGTGTTTGAAGCTATCATAGGTCAATGGTTGATTCTTTTCACATTCGAGGCGTATTTGACTTACATCCAGTATCGACAATGAGGTTCCAGGTCTTGCCTCCAATCACGACAGGCGCGACGTAGGAGACATCCTCGTTGGTGACAGTGCCAGAGCTAACGGCATCGACGTGGAAAGAACCCTCTCCATTAACCTTCCGAATGCGGGCCTGGCCCTTCTGGACGATGGCCTTGATCGAACTGGCCTTGACGACGTGCTTCAAGGGCAGAACGGCAGTCTTGGCCCTAGGCTCAAGGGGCGAGGCTGAGACGGCAGCCGCAGCGGCAAGAGTGAGAGTAACAGCGAAGAGCATCTTTGCTGGTAATATAAGAATCCGGAGAAGATGTTTGAGAGGATGAGATGGTGATGAGAAGGACTGACGTTGAAAGCCAGACTACGAGCTTATTTATATCTGTTGAAGTTGATAGTATGGCTCGATCTATCTACGACTTCTCGGCAAACCGGCATCGTGGAGGCATAGTTATCTCCAAGTTTGACAAGCTGGACTAGGCTCTAAACATCTCTCAACCTTCTAGATGGTGTTCATACTTGGTATGAAGTGATCGTCCTGTGGGTAGCTGTGTTGAATGCCACTTGCCCCTAGCGTGACGTGATAACTAGCACCTACCGCATTGGGCAGGTTCCGTGTCCAACTTGCTAATCTGATAGGGTGTACGGCCGGTCAAGCGTCCAAACTAATCTCTCAATGCCGAACTCTTCGCCCAATCAACTTCTTCCTATACAGCAGTGTGACATTGGTACCCCAGAATCACGTCTTTGATCTGCGCGAATCGCTTGGCATCGACTCTGGATCGTCTGATGTAGAGGAATAGTCTCTCGTTGCCGTCATAGCCGAAGATCTTTTGTTCGAGCGATCAGGCATAACACAGAGGTTAGTCGCAAGAGCACTTACAGCCTGTTTGAACTAGTTTACTGATTGGGTAACTTTATCTCCTGTCTATTTTGTAACTTTTACATTACTTATATATAGAAGCTTTAATTATAAATATATTCAAATAATTGAATTTATTTTACTAATACTATCTTTATAATATTCTTCTATTATATTTAATAATCCTCTTGAAGAAGCAGTTAAATAAGACTTCAACTGCATAGACATAAGCTAGTCCCTGACCTAAATCCCTCAGCCTTCTGTAAAACATCTACAGTCGCGACATTTCGCAGCTTCCGTTTATGTCATTAAAGACTAACACTGTCTCAAGATATCTCCAACTAAATACTACTCTGTATCGGCTAGATGTGCCGTCCCTTATCATTGACATGTCTTGCAAGATCACTTACCTATTTCGCCCAAGGCATGTGAAGAAAAAGTCCCTTATCTTCGCTGTTATACCCTATCAGCTTTCGATGTTCTCATATCGAGGTCTGAATCTGGTTAAGCCTTGATTGAGTGCTAACAGAAGTTCCTTGTCGTCCTGATTGGGTGTGGTAGCCGGATGAATGACAGGGGGTATGACAGGGGTATGACCCCCACCGCGTCTCGTACCGTGCCGAGGTGATAGACGAGTATTGGCATTCCATTTGCCGGCTCTATGGCCACGGCATTGAATGAGAAAGGAGATTCAATGATATGAAGCCGAAGAGATAATCCGGAGGTTTAAGTATTGGTGGGCCATCAGCGGTAAAACTGAAGATATATATTTTCGCCGCCTTCACTGCAGAATCTGCAAATTTGTACACTGAACCTTTATGCTTGTCGGGCAACATGTATGGCTTCGTAACCGGCGTTGTTGCCATACGGTTGAGGAATCGAAAACAGCCTCAACATACAAAGGTATAGATCAGAAATACTCACTTGTCACTGTGTTTGCAGCCTCAAGCTTGTCCTTAGAGGCAACAGCCACTTACATGATATATATGGATTATTTTCTCCTTGACATCTGGTGGCAAAAAGGAAACCTTCTTGCTGAAAGCCATATATTCTCATAACTGCCTTAAATGATGTATAGAACCCGGGATGGAATGGGAGACAACTTTGAACCGCCCTCCTCAAGTTCTCTCTGCTGATTTAAGCTCTCGGCGATAAATCCCAATCCACGCTCTCGGATTGAGTTTGTTCTAGCTGCCTGATTCTTTATAACATTTAGGTATTCTAAACGCTCCTTGATTTTTCCCTAGCTGTAGATTTGCTCAAGGGCGTTTAATCACTGTTATGTATTCAGTCGTCCATTGGTTGCATTTTCATCTCTGACCGTGTTGGATACCCTATATTCCATAATCTGGAGGCAATTGACGAACTCCACTTGCGAGAGATCCACTGGCCCAGACAGGGAAAGGAATAAATAGCCGCTTCAGGTGACCGTATCAGGCCACAGCCCCTAGCTCATTATCTATACGCGTATTAATTTGCCGCGCCACTAAGCCTCGAAGACCTGTATAAAAACTTAGTTTGGCTAAGAGATATGTCTAAGGTACTAGTGAGAGCAAAGAGTTCATTATCTGTATCCAATAATCTATCTTCTTTACGTCTGGATTGGAACTGAAGCTCCTTTCATCCCTCAGCCTTACAACGTTTCACAGCTCTGAAAAATCAGGAACCGAACCACCGGAAATGAATCCGAGGGAGCTAACATTCTGGAACCACCTGATCGGGTCATGTAGCTGTTTCAGATGCCACGCCGCTCACTCTAGCTGTGGGTAGTTCGTATTCTTGCTGCACAACGTTCCAGATTGGCGGAACAATTGGCCTAGTTGTCGGCGCGAGAACTGCAATTTGCGAGATAGCTCAACACTGAGTCCACAACACGAGTCAACAGCAAGCGCCTTTCCGTTATATATCTCCCTGGGAGTCGCAAATCAGCTTCTGTTCTGGCAGTATTGTTCATTCATTCATTTTCCAGTCCCTCATTTCTTCTGTTTGTATACATCAATAAGGAATCTGGTATTCCTCTCACATTCGTTTTAAATACTTATTCTTAACGCCTGTACAATGCGTCTCCTCGATGTTTTCGTCGCCGTCGTGGCATTTCTCCCCACGTCATTCGCCGCTCTCCCTACTCAAGCCGAAGGATTTGCCGCTGGCACTACTGGTGGAAAGGGCGGTCAGGTCGTGCGTCCCAAGAACAACCAGGAACTGGCCAACTATCTAAAGGATAACACCGCGCGTATCATTTATCTGGAGCGGACCTTTGATTTCAAAGGATCTGAGGGTTCTGCGACTGAGACTGGCTGCGCGCCTTGGGGTACAGGTGCACACTGCCAGCTTTCTATCAACAAAAACCAGTGGTGCACCAACTACAGCCCTGGTGCTCAGAAGGTCACTGTCAAGTATGACAAGGCTGGTCTGAACCCTCTTTTGGTGGGCTCAAACAAGAGCATCATCGGCGTCGGTTCCAAGGGTGTCATCAAGGGCAAGGGTCTCCGTCTTGCCAATGGCGTCAAGAATGTTATCATCCAAAACATCCATGTCACCGATCTCAACCCCAGCCTGGTCTGGGGCGGCGACGCTATCACTCTTGACGGCACCGACAATGTCTGGATCGATCACTGCACTACATCATTGATCGGTCGCCAGCATATTGTTCTTGGTACTGGAGCCAGCGGTCGCGTTTCTATCACAAATAACAAAATTGACGGTGTGAGCCCATGGTCTGCAAGCTGCAACACTTATCACTACTGGGCCATTCTCTTCCTCGGAAAGAGCGACGTAAGTAGCAAATACGCCATACAGTAGAGACGATTTACTAACAGGGTTTAGTTGATCACCTTCAAGGGCAACTACATGTACCACGTTTCCGGCCGCGCTCCCAAGGTTTCCGGCAACACCCTCCTCCACGTCGTCAACAACTATTTCCACGACGTCTTCGACCATGCTTTCGAGATTGAAGAGAACGGCCAGGTTCTCGCTGAAGGAAACGCGTTCCAGAACGTCAAGAACCCCCTCAAGACTGGTACCAAGGGCCGACTCTTCACTGTCCCTACTGCCGGATCTGCCAACTCTTGCAAGGCTGCTCTTGGACGCGCGTGCCAGATTAATGCCTTTGGAAGCTCTGGAACCTTCCCTGGCGATGACACTGGCTTCCTGGGCAGCTTCAAGGGCAAGACTATTGCTTCTGCTGCCAGTGCTCAGAGTGCTAAGAATGCTATGACAAAGGCTGGTTTCGGCCTTGCGTAAATGCATAGTCCGTCTATCACTGGCTGGTGTTGTTCTCTTCAAAATGGGTATTCTATTTGTGTATAATTGTATTAAAGCATGGCCGAGAAGTTAATATACCAGTGTACATATTCTTCGGTATCTCTAATAGCATATGCTGGTAAACCTTGTAATCGACTGCGGAGTTCACCATATTGCAAATCATCTTCCAGTGCTAATCTTAATTATTATTATTTAGGGTGAAATGCAGGCGAAGATCTACTCTTAAAAGACTATTGGTTATATGTACTGTAGCCATAAGAGGTATCCCTTGAGTTTCAGTAAATGATGTATAGAATAAATAAGTAAGTAGTCGTAGGCAAGTCTAAGATTGTATTAAAGTCCTGTCAATTGGTAAGTTGTATAAATTGCATGAGGCAGGAAGAAATACAAGTGATTCTAGTAAGTCGAGTTCCACGGCATTATTCTTATATGTCTTCCTCCCGGATCACCAGCTATTTCATTTATGGAACAAATATGGAGATTAGGTCTGCATCCTATTTTAATGCAGTCCTGAATTTTTTTTAGTCAGTTCAGGAATCCCTGTGCATGGATTGACCCCATAAATCTACCCCTGCTCTGAAACGCATGCATATAGCTCTATTCTTCCACCATTCAAGGACAGAGGTCATAAGAATAACAAGGCTCTGGGTAGTCCAATAGCCATTATGGAGATTAAGGGTTATGAAACCTCTGCCTACTGTCCTCATGTTTATTACAGTACCGAGGGTTCCTTACTGAACCACAACGTGAAGATACGTCAGAGACTAGGCATGTTATCTATGTACACATAATTTCGGTTAGTTTGAAGTTGATGATCTTTTAGTCCAGAGTGCTCTTTATTGGAAACAGCAGACTGCGTAATTTATTGGCCATAAATAGTCTTGCACACTCTTAGTACTCGGATATGAAAATTTCTCTATTTTCCATCTAGATTTACGACGTTTACTGCTTGCTAGTCGCTTTCAAGATGCGCGCCTTCCCCCAACTTGTTCTCATCCTCTCGACCATCGCTGCGGTTGATGCTTCAAAGGGTTTCAAGCATCGCCATGGACGACCTAAGAATGTAAATTTGGAAGACGCTTCCAGTTCCATATCCAGCAATTCGAAAATAGCAGAATTTAAAACTGGGCAAGCGCAAACCGTTGTCTCAACGGTCCTCATCGTACCTACTCAGACACCCAGTGATGCCGAGATTGTCCAGCCTCAAAAGCTCGAAGCGCCGTCTCAAAATGCAGGCCTATTATCGACATCACAACAAAAGAAAAGTACTACGGCTGCTCTCGAGGAGCCGACCAAGAAATTCTGCGGCGAACCCAACGAATATGAAGTCCTCATTGGAACACCGTGGATTGTATTCTCCATGAACTACAACTACCAGTCCATCAAAGGCTCTTCCTGCGTCGGCTACTATAACTACGAAGGGTCTGGCGACAACCAGACTATCCACTGGAGTGTCCTATGGGACATCGATCCTGATGTCGGCACGAATCTCGTCAAGGGCTACAACTTCATCGGTCTTACACAGGGTCTGGAAACGAGGCTCAGCGATATCAAGAGCATTCCTTCCAAGTATGAGTGGACCACCAGCAAGACTACTGATTATAAAGGTATACGATCCCGATACTGCAACTTCTCTCTGTAAAAATGTAATCATGCATGCTGACTGTCGGTGCTTACCAGGGAACGTTGTATATGACTTTATGACCTGCGATACAAAGGGAGACTCAACCTCCAGCAACGCGCAGGAGCTCATGCTCTGGCTAAACTGGGAAGGTGGTCAGGTCCCCATTGGATGGGGCGAAGGGCCTATCGCTACCATCGATGGACTCTTTGGCAAAGACGGCTGGAAGCTGTACCAAGGTGTCAATGCCGATACTGGCATCACAGTGACCTCGCTCCTGTGCCCCGAGGATAGCCAGTTTGGCAACGAAGAGGGCGGTAGTTTTGAGGGTGATATCAAAGACTGGCTTGTAGCGCTGTCCAGAGAGGGCGTGTTCAAGTCAGACACCTATGTGAACGTAGGAAACGCTGGCATGGAACCTTACTATGGCACTGTTGACTTTGACAACTATCTGAGCCTTCGCATCAACGTCTAGAGAGCAGCGTCAAGAGTCGTTTAGATGTGATGCTCACTGTATTTTATTCTTAACCTTGGACCATGCGTCAAAGTGTTCCATGTATGTAGGTTTGCTTGGTCTGTATACAATTGCTTAAATCTTTTCATGTCATAGATCCTAAGAAGGTTGTGTAAGAATGTTCTTGTAGACCATCCTTTGTACTAACTATGTATAGACTGAATGATATTATCCTATTGCTGTTATACGAGGTTTTGATTATTGAATGTATAAGTAGGGTCCTCTAATTCTAACATACTGACGAAAAGGGGGGGAATTGACGAGATTCATGTTGAACTATGCTCATTTGCCTTCACACTTATATAAGAAGTAGTGTACAAGACTTGGCCTGAGAAATCTTGTCTTATGTGATAACAGTAACAGTTCTACAACCATACCCACAAGGTCTATCTGGTCATATGACCCCAGTTGAGTAGCAATATCTCAGAATGACCGTAAGCCATAATTACGTTCAGCTTGAGAAAGAAGAGCAACAAGTCACAGTTGACCCGGTGCTTAGTTTATCTAATCCGAATCAAACGTAACGAACAAGGGCACAGGAACGTATCCTGGCATTGATGAAGGGCCGATAAGCGCCTTCATCCCGAGTTCACCACCCGAGGGGCCAATGTATGTAGTGCCCCAGAGAGTGCCAGTGGCAGTACATCCAGAAGACATGCTGCACTGCACCTCAGGCACAGTGCATTCTAAGCGGCTGCCCGGTGTAGGTGTCTCGCAAGTGAGGTACTGCTCCTGGTCCGGCATATTGGTGGCATCGCATACGATGAAAGCGCTGGTGCCATCGCCGGGGAAGTAGCCGCAGATAGGCAGAGTGCCGTCAAGTAACAAGCGGCCGGTGGTGGCGTCGATGGTGAAGTAAGCATCGGTATAGCCTTGGGCACTGTTGAAGAGGAGAGGAGCGAAATGAACTCGATTTGATAGAAGGGGTTGGCCTTGGTAATTACTGCTCTCCGGAATCAGTCGGAACATGGGAACAGCGGTGGTAGTGGCAGCTGCAGTGGTAGAAGCTGCTTCAGTGGTTGCGGTTGATGTAGCCAAGGTGGTAGCCTCGGTGGTTGTATCGCCGGAAACAGTTGCCTCGCTACTTGCAGTCTCTATTTCAGTTACGGCTGAAGTCACCTCAGTGGTTACATCAGTTACTGTGTCAGCAGAGGTGACTGCTTCGGTCGTCGTGCTGGCAAAGGTGGCCGAGGTGTCGGAAGATAGGTCAAAACCAGATGTTGACACTGTTGTCGCAACGGAAGACTCAGATACTGGGCCATGCTGTTAGCAAAAAACGACCAACCAAGAGTTCATCACTTACCTGAAGAACGAGGCTTGCAAGGGCCCGCAACCGCAACATCAATACAAGCAAGGCCAACGGCCAATAAACGAAGGATCCTCAAATGCATGATGGCTTAAACGAGTGACGAAGGTGAGAAAAATGAGTGACAAGACAAAGAGTGCTGAAATGAGCAAACAAGCAAGTAGTCGGAAATCTGGGAAACATGCTTTTATTATTCTCCAAACTTGGGAAATGAGCATGTTGCGCTAGTGGTATCAGTGCCTGAAGACAGTCAATAGTTTGTGTTAGTGAGCGGAGCTAATGAGTTCGAGTTGCCGAACACCAACGCCATTGTGGGCTTCCAATCAATAGTCTATAAGCTAAACGTTTACCTGACTCCAGGAAATCCAGCAAAGCCCCCCTGACTATGATACACTAAGCTACTGAAGAGAGAGTAGTTAGAACATGAGTTCTTACAGGGATTGTTGTATTTTAATAAAGAGCATTCTAGAGCTTAATGGCTAAAAGATTTAGCTCAATTAGGGCACTACATAGAGGGACTTTTAATATTACTCTTGGCTTTATTTAAGTTCTTTACGCAGGGTAATACATTTAGTTAATATATCGAGATAAGGTTTTAGGCAGCTTAGTGCAGTATATAAGGATTGTTAGATTTCTAATATAGACATTAACTTATTTCTTTCTAAGGTGTTTAAAATATAGACTGTATTTATTATTGGTATATCTGGCAATAGCCATATTATAAAACTCTATACCTTAGGCTTACTTGATTCTGAACTACAATACGTGCTCTGTATTCTGAATTATAGGCAGTGCGCAGTGCCCTGATAAGTAGCGATAGTCTAATACTGAGAGGGGGGATAAGAATACATATGCAGCTTGGCTGCCTGACGGGAAACAAGCACGTATAAGTATCACGGGGATGAGTGGCGTGTCAAAGTCCCAAGAGAGAGTAAGCAGCCACGTCAGGTGATCGAGCCAGGCTTTGACCCCTCACTCGCATGCATGCCTGAAGCTTTTCACAATAGTTGCCTGATAATCTGCGTCACAACTATCGAAGGTTAATCGATAGGGTTAAACAACTGCACTCAACCTCGCTGTTTTTCTGATTCCCAGATGACAACATGTCGAAATGGCTGAAGTTACTGGGCTCGCGCTTGGCGTCCTAGGCCTCGCTGGTCTGATCGGCGCTTTTAAGGATACCATCGATGTTTTCAACACCGTTGTAGATATGCGCCATATGGGCCGTCAGTATCAAGTCCTCGATATCAAGCTAGATATAGAAAAGGCCCTCCTCCTTCAGTGGGCGGATCGGGTGAAACTTCTTCAAGCTGATCACGACGTGCGACTCGATGAACCGAACACCCAAACCCTCGTTTTGCGGATCCTTGGTTCAGTTCGATCACTTTTAACGGACGCGGATCAGTTACAAAAGCGCTATGGGTTGCGACTGGAAAATGACACTGAGACGCCGATCTCGGCGGGTCTTGAGCCGGACTTTTCATATCTGCCCTCTAGACTATTGAGCGGACCAATTCCGCTGCAGCATGTTAGTTCCGACCAACAGCGAGATCAGTCTCAGTCCGGCTGGAGGTTCAGTCAGAAGCGCATGAAGAGCTTTGTGAAACGGCTCGAAGCACTACCATTTCCGGAACAAGGTCGGGCGACCACAACATCTACTACCCAAAAGACACGTTGGGTTATCAGAGATAAACAGAAGTTCGAGGTTCTCATCCAAGATGTTGCCGAGCTGACAACCAAACTCGATCAGGTTGTCCCTCCGTCAAATTCCGAAACAGCTCGCTCAATGATCCAGAGCGATATCGAGCTCATCAAAAAGGATGTCAGAAAGCTTTTGTTGTTTCAGGAGGCGACAGGAAACCATACAGCTATAGCTCAATCAATAGAGGAGAATCTCGATAGAATTCGCCAGGCTCGCATCTTGAACACACTATGGTTCAGGATGATAAATGATAGATCCGAAAGCATCTCACAGAATCATCGGGACACCCTTCAATGGGCCATTGAAGGTTCAAATAACACCGAGTCCTGGCATGATCTCCCGTCTTGGCTTCTCAATGGCTCCGGCATCTACTGGGTCTCTGGGAAAGCCGGAAGTGGCAAGTCAACCCTGATGAAGTTTGTCTTTGGGCACCAGCGAACCACGTCGATCCTATCTCAATGGGCTAACGGAAGCCGACTGCTTACATGTCATTACTTCTTTTCCAACTTGGGAACAGATCTCCAGAAGAGCCAGGCTGGACTCTCTCGTACATTGATTTATCAAATACTGGATAAAAACAGGTCACTGATACAAAAAGCACTTCCTAATATGTGGAAAGAATTACTCGAACGAGAGTCTAGCCTGCGAGATAATGATCTGTTCACTCATGATGACATCACCTTACCTTCGGTAGCCGAGACAAGGCAAGCATTTGAAGTTATCTCAGCAAATAGTGGCAGGATAGGACACATTTGCTTCTTTATCGATGGCCTTGATGAACTTGTTGGGGATTACAGTGATAGTATCGACTTTATTAGCAAGCTAGCCCAGAACGAGCAGTCCAAAGTCGTCGTCTCGAGTAGACCTATCCCAACCTGCGTCGCTGCCTTCCGAAAGCATCCTCATCTCAGATTGCAAGACCTTACGCGATACGATATACAAGCATATGTTCAATTCAAAGTTGGAGGCCATCCGTCTATGAAACGACATATGAGACGGTATCCCGAAGAAGCGGCCTCCTTGATGAATGAACTTGTTGATAAGTCTTCTGGAGTTTGGCTCTGGATAATACTCGCTTGTCGATCTATTTGTGGAGGTTTCGATGATCATGATCGCCTTGCAGAAATTCGTCGTCGCGTAGATGAACTCCCGCCAGAGCTCAAGGACATGTTCATGCATATGCTCAGTAAGGTTCACAGACGGCATCAAGAACAAGGAGCTCAATTGCTCAACATCTGCTACACATAGCAGAAGACCAAGTCACCGTTTCTCCAGAAAGGCTTATATGCGCTAGGCCTTGCACTTGTGGATGACTATAATACACAGACTGTCTGCATTGAGAATCTTGACGCGGAGGAGAAGCTAGAAATATGCGAAGAACTTGAAGGTCGACTCAGGAGTCGGTGCTGGGGGCTACTGGAGTTTGCAGACTCCAGGCCTACAACTTCGGGAAGAGACATAACAGAAGCAAAGGTCATGTTCATGCATCAAACTGTCTTCGAGTTTCTGAGCGATCAGAACTCATGGAAGCTTGACTGTCTGCAAATACAGGACACTGCTTTCCAGTCAGCTACAGCGCTATCACTCTACGGCGTACATATGGCTGTCCAGAAGCTCTGTGAAAAGAATGAAGTGGCGGCCATGGATCTATTCGAGGAGGGCCTTTGGTGGGGAGCTGAGGCCGATAAGCAGAGACCCAATGACACCAAAAACTGCTTCTTCCATCTTACGGCCTTTCTGTCGCTTCTGTCAGAAAGGAAACTCTCATGCGTTACACTCCAGAGACTTGCACAGGCATTAAACGTTGGTGAGGCACCTGAACCCTTACCTGTGGGTTGTTCACCTATCTCCTTACTACTCGCCGTTGAAGCAGGCGCAATAAACTTTGCCAAAAGCCACTCGAACTTCGCAGCAACAGGTCATGACTGTCAGCGCGGATGTAAGCCTCTTCTATACCATGCCCTCAGGAAACAATTTCTCAGTGGCAAATTTAATGATCAGCCATCAGACTCACGTTTCAACACCTCTCACATGGTGGAGATGCTCCTTCTGATGGGCTGTGACGCTACCAATCTCGTCGCAGTCAGTGGTTGTGAGACAAGTCTTTGGTCTTTGTGGTTGGAGGAGCTGACAAGGCTCACGGCCTATACGCTTAACGAAGATGAGAAGGCTGTTCTTGCGAATATCTCCAAGATGTTTCGAGCAGCAAATGATAATTTCAGGCCAGAAGGATTTGATGATATGATTATTGACTGGCCTGGTGTTACCTATTAGAGATACATTATGCCCCCTTTCATATAGTTCTAGCACACTAATTAGCGCTAAGTAACTTCTTTTAAACCTATGGGATGACTGCGGCCTACAAGGTTAAGCTTTAGGCTGGGAACACAGGCGATGCACTGCTTTGGATTAACGACCAAGTATCATCAACAGTCGGCCACCTACTCTTCACCTTAAACGGCCATCCCGAGCTCCGATCTTATCGGTATAGTGTGCAGGGTCGCTGTTTATAAAGTCAGACAGTTCGGTACGCTAGCCCCTACCAATCTCAGCTGTGATGGACATTCCCCTGGTGTGAGACAAGTCAAGGGCAAGGATTAGACTGTCGAGTAGCATGCCGTTAATTGACGCTAAAAATTGAACTGAAACAACAGTGGGCCAGGGCCTGTAAAGAAGAGATCAGCGGCTCTGTAGGTCCGAAATCCGAATCCGTAAATATTAACAGCCAATTGATTAATGGAGCAATAAGCTGTATTATTTTAAGCAACAAGACTAAGTTCACTTTTCTAATATATAAACCATTCCCTTGATGTTTCCAAAGGAGTAAATTATTATCTAACTGACTAGCTATTATATCTTGATACTTCCTTTTCTTGCGTACCTTATTCTAGCTTCTCTACCTGTCTCAGCTCTAGTCAACCCGTCCTCCATCGCCATTAATTACCTGGAACTAGTCGCCATAAAATGACAAACAACACCCAAACGCCCGAAGGCTATGCCCCCTTTGACTTGTACCCTTACAACCCATCTCAGGGCCCAGCATATGCCTTCTTAGGCCTTTTCGGAGCGGCGGGCATTGCCCACTTCATTATGATGTTCCCTTATCGATCAGCCTTCCCGATCCCTATGATAATCGGATGCGGCAGTACGTGGCCTACCTCCTCTCATCTGCGTTGTTCCATTTAGCTGATACTGTTTCTAGTGGAGGCCACCGCGTATTGGTTTCGCTCAAGATCTCACAACAACTTGCGACAGACATTGCCTTTTCTGATCCAAAACCTACTCGTCCTTGTAGCCCCGCCCTTCCTCGCTGCCACGATCTACATGTCCCTCGGCCGGATCACGAGAGCTCTCAAAGCACAAGAAGTTTCGCTGATAAGTCTACGATGGATCACCAAGTTGTTCGTTCTGGTTGATCTGATCTGCTTTGCCACGCAGACTGCCGGTGCTATTATGTCAGGCAGCGAAGATGTGGACGAGGCAAAGCGAGGCCAAACTATCATCATCGGCGGATTAGTTCTCCAGATCCTTGCATTTGCCTTATTCATAATCTGCACTCTTACTCTCCAGCTCAGAATCCGAGCGAGTCCCCCAGTACATTGTATTGCTGGTGTGATTACGCACTATCGTCGATATTTCATTGCACTCTACTGCACCAGCGGCTTGTTCTTGGTCCGTAATATGGTCAGAATTATCGAGTATAAACAAGGTGGCGATGGTCCGCTGTTGTCGAATGAAGCATTTCTTTATGTTTTCGATTGTTGTTTTATGTTGGCCATTATATTGATTGTCCTAATACTGCACCCAGGGCAGTTAATCCTAAAAGCTCGGCGGTTAGATGTATTAAAGGAGGATTTGCCATTGGTATCAAGGTCATGACGTAAAGGAAAGTCTTATCCACTTTATTCTATGTTTACTTATTTTAATAGTACATTCAACACAAACAGGTAGTGTAGGATATGTTTTATAGATATGTAGTTTGGAGATTGTATAGGTGACTATCTTAATTCTATCCCTTTGTAATATCATAACCGTTTTGCGCTGACATCCGCTCCGTCATTTTCACCTCATAAGCGCCCAGGCTCGGGCCAAATGGAAAGTTCCGTCCCCTGAGTCATGGCGAGCTAGCAGTGGGCCCCCGTTGAAGTCCCTGGCCAGTCATAAGTTTACGCATTGTATGCGTAAACGCTAACCCTGGCGAATCCGTGCCACCCAAAATGCCCTTGCGAGATTGCGGCAAGACTTCTCCATCTACCAGCTTTCGAATCTCTCATCAAAAAGTTCCCAAGAAACTAATCTATGTCAGCACGACGGAAGATTACAGTCTCGAGCCCAGCCGACGAAAGACTAGTCACTTTTTCGCCACCTAACCACCGTTCCCGGTACGAGTATGCGTAAACCACACAAAAAGTCTCGGCTGGGCTGCCAAATATGCAAAAGACGGAAGATTAAGGTTAGTCGGGTCCTACTGATTGTATCTGAATCCGATCCCCTGTATCTATAAAGTTATACAGTGCTATAGTACGTTGGTCTGATCCTGCTGACTTATCAAGTGTGACGAAGTCAAACCGCAATGCGGGAAATGCGTTCAGTTTGGCGTATGGTGCGATTTCTCTCCTCTACCACCAGGTCCCCAGCCTTCTCTCAGTCTACAGCCTGACAATCAGTCCCGGCGCCCGGGCCGTCCCAGATCGGATTGGACGTCATGGGCTGAGCAGATCCGGGCTCACGCAGCCGAGTCTGCTACATCAACTCTGAGTACGAATATGATGGATCTTGAGCTCTTTCACACCTACATGACGAAAACTGCAAGTACTCTTGGTGGCGGCAGCGGTTCCGGAACCCTTCTTTGGTCTGGAGGTGCGCCTCGAGTGGGATTTCAACACAATTGCATACTCAAGCTCATACTCTCGTTGTCAGCATTTCATCTGGCGCGGATCAAACCTATTGACGAGCATCGATATTCATTGATTGCGGAAACGCATTTGACGGCCGCGTTGCAGCCAGCGATGATTTTGATCAGCAATCTTGGTGGAGATAACGGCCCAGCTGCGTATTTGACATCCGTATTGATATGCTTCATTGCTCTAGCCAAGGGTCCAAGTCCCGGGAATCTTCTCTTAACCAACATTGAAGGACAAGTTTCGTGGCTTCATCTCCTTAGGGGCGTTCGTTTGGTTGTCGAGTCCGCTGGCTGGTCTTCGATATTCTCGGGTACGCTGGCAGAGTATGCTCCGCTACCTAGCGGCGATACGCTAGAGCCCACCGCCGCAACTAACCCAAACTTGATGGCTGACGGCATCGAAGACTGGCGCTCCTCTTTGAACAGAATCTCTAACCTGATAGCTCAGTTAGCAGAAGAGAATATGGGCAACGTTTACGATCGTGAGCTTGAGGCGCTCACTGCCTGTTTTGAGAGGACATTTTGCAAAGGGCAAGACGCTGCCTTGGATACAGTTGGTAGGCTTCAGGATGTCATAGGCTGGGTCTACCGGCTTGGAGATGATTACATGGAAGGGCTGCGCCAGATAGACCTCATCTCAACAGTCATTTTGGGACATTTTTGCGTCTTACTTCGGACAATTGAGGCTCAATATTGGTTCATGCACGGATGGGCAGCACATGTCATAGGGGAGATTCTCGTTATTTCTCCCAATACTCGACAGTGGCTCTCATGGCCAATTGCATACCTGAACCCGGAAGAATAGTAATGATACCTAAATTCGGGACGAGTTACAACGAGCAGTGTCCTATGTGGTTGTCATGGTGAGCCTTTTGGGGGGAGCAAAGATCTAGAGTGTAAATATAGGTAGATAAGTCTAGTAATAATGTCTATGTAGCCTATGTTTGTGCCTTACTTGGGCCCAGTGCCCATGGCGGTCATCAAGATGAGGGAAACTTGATTTCGCAATGACTCTTGAAGCCATCCTGGCAGTCCTCAGATCAAAGAAGTCCACCACAAGTTCGAAGGCACAATGATCTGTGCACTAAAGCCAGAAAAGACCTGGTCGCAAATTCTATCAGCCACAACTTCAGCTGGCGTAACGGTATCCCTCAGCTTTCCCTTTGCAACAAGTTCTGCTGTCATGGCCGTCCTAATCCAGGAGGGATGCAAAACACTATGAATCGTCAGACAATTTTTATATGTATAACAGAGTGGAGGCAACTCACCTGGTGCGAACGCGAGGGGCTTTATAAATATATCTCAGCTCCTGGCCAAGGCCTTCGTGGAAAGCCAGTAGTCCGACCTTGGTGGAGCCATAGGCCACATTCGTCGCTTGCGTGGCAAAGGATGCTTGGCTAGCGATGTTGACAATGTGGCCGTGATCCCTCTTAATCATACTAGGGATGAACTGCTTGGTGAGGAGGTAGGGAGCGAGGAGGTTTACATCCAAGATATTCTTGAAGTAAGACTCTGGCAAGTCTAGTATAGCTTTTAATTCTGCGAATCCGGCATTGTTGATCAGAACGGTCGGGTCCCCGTGGTCTTGTCTGATTTGATCCGCAACCGATGATATGCCTTCCGAATCCGTGAGGTCGATCTTGTAGAAGTATGTATTTACGGCTAAATAACGTCAGATGTCTGTTGACAACATATCACTTGCGGCGTAATAAATGCATCGTGAACTAAAGGGACTTACCCAACTTGGTAGCAAGAGGATTCCGATCCAGGATCAAGACCTTAACGCCCTTTTCAGCAAAACCTTGAAACTATGGCAGCTCCAATTCCATTGCTTCCTCCAGTAACAACCACAATTTCGCGACCCCAATCCCATGAAGGGTCGCTAACATGATTGTTGACCTTCCTCTTCGTATAACAGGCATTCAAGTATCCCAGCGAGGGACTACCTCCGAACCAAGGGACATCTAGCCGACTGTAGAAGTAAGGGCACTATAGCCTTGGTCAAGTCAAGCTTGGGTCATTGCAGCACCAAGCTACCGAGTCAGTTGCCTTATAGCCAAGGTTAATTGGCATGACTTTCAACCTGCAGCGACCAGGCCGAGCTCCGGGTTCGTCGCTATCGCGTAAGGGGTAGTTGCTTGTGAAGCCTGACTGTCTGTTCCTCGGTCTGAAACACGCAACGCAAGGGGGGGACCCTGTACCGACAGTTATCGTTTCGCCAATAATATGAATCTATAAATCTTGATAGCAAATCGATTTGCAGAGATACTTAATTTCTTTCTTATTAATAAGTGATGTCTTATCCTAAGCTAAAAGGCCATCAGGACTTTTCCAATACATAAAGCGTTCCCTCGGCATGATAATTGTTAGCTGCATGGGACAATACGTACTATTGTTAACATCAAACTCCACCAGTATATTATACATCAAATCCCAGTTTAACCTGGCACCATCCAGGCGCGATGGCTAATGGCAACTCTACTGCAGATACTTTCGATTTACGAATTTCTATTTTAGTATACTATGTTTCCCGCTATATGGATCTGCCCGTAAGATGCCGTTCTGTATTTATGTCCTCCCACTGTCGATACCATATTGGTATTTGATCATCGGCGTAATCCCATGACTGTGGCAATTCGAATCCTTGGGGGATTGAGATCTCTGAGACAATTGGAATTGATGCCGGGGGTTGAATGGGTCGATCTCTCTGGTCTAACTTGTACACTTCCAACCAGGCCCAACGTCGGGCTCGTTGGCTCACAAAGTCGCGCCATTCTGAGGAAGTGATGATGTAAAAGTAGCGCAAAGCAGGAGACGACAACTCATTTGCTTTGATTTGTAAGAAGGACCGCCTTTGTGCGATGTTTGATGAATGACTCTGCCAGGACTGATTCTGCCCAAACTGGCGAAGTCCTTGATTCTGCGCGAACCCGGTTATTCCTGCGCTGGACTGCAAGCCATCTCCAGATATCTCAAACTGAGAAAATTCAGTTACATAATCTGGGACTGCTTGGGTAACAACAGAGTTGGTGTCTAGGGCAATCACCAGGCTAGAGCTATCACCAACCCGCCGAACAGGAATGAAGCCCTGGAGTTTTTTTTCTCCGACATGATCGGGCCATAGGATATCTCGATTTGTCCAGCCATGGGGAGAAAGATCGCTCAGTTCCAAACCAAAGTCATCATCCAAAGGTCGAAGAGGATAAAACTCATGCTTGAGAAGGGTTTGGCGAGGGAAGACGCAATATGCCTTGCTCCAAGTGATGAAATTGACCATTGCTGTTGTTGATGAAGACGTGAGGATGGTTTTAATAGGTAGCCCAGTTGTTCGCGTGACGCGGACTTGTATATTCGGCTGTGAGACTCTACTATAGACACTACGTCTTGGAATCTGCTCCGAATTTAGCTAGAATTGTACATGGATCATGGACTCTTGACATTGGCTTCTTACCGTGTCGACTTCTGAATCGTTCTTGTACTCTTCCGTTGTTTGCAAATAATCCGTGAATTGATCAGCATCGGCCCCTTCCTTGACGAAGATGTCCAACTTTGAGACTCTTTTACTGCTTAATTGGAAGAAATTGAGGGCAAAGGGTCCTGAGATCACTGCATTATAGTGTCCCAACTGGGCTCGAAACATTGTAGCGTCGATCACAAATGCCTTGAGTGCAGCGTTGATCCCGCAAATCAACCTGAGAGTATGGTTTTTTATTCTGTAAAGTCGCTTGCATACTCGGAATAAAGAAAAGAAGTCCGAAATAGTTAAGGAAGAACAAAGCACCTCCAGAAGTGTAGGCTGAAGAAGCATCTCGACCAACCATGGTTGGTGCTGCGATAGGGTATCTAAGTCTGTCATATCGTAGTTGAGTCTGTCCGTCACGGGTCGATAAGTTGGAGATAATCCTGATAAAATTTGTGTACGAAACCTAAATCGATGTGATAAGAAGTCTACGCCAGGAGCATGGCAATTAACAGGTTTCATCACATGTCGTGAATGAGCAGTTGGGCATCAAGTTTGTGCCTAACTCCTGTGACCAACTTTGAACACGAAACAACGTGCAGGTCCAAAATGCAGTAGCCCGTCCATGATTGGCTTGGCTTGATATGATTGCTTAGTTACAACCTTAACTTGGACTCTTAACTTACTCGGACGAGCAGGCATAATTGAATATATGGGCCGTTCTAGGACATCTTACTACCCAGCTCTAGCGGACGGATGATTGGTAGAGTCCGTCGCTAGCTGCAGGCTTGAGATTCATATAGCCCGTTGGTCGAGTCCATGCATGAAACTTCCTTTTCATATATCATTTTCGTATTGGGTAGTCAATAGGTGCAACTGGCCCAGGCCTGCTATGACTCCTTTGATCGCGAGTGAGAGAAGAGAAGAGAGACGTTTTGAAGAGCCAGTCAATATTTTGCATACTCTACGGTTGAACACTTTCTGATTCACATTCTCTACTTGTCATGCATTGCGGGACGGGCTGCTCATTTCCGCCTTCCAGCTCGTGCTGTTGAAGATGTCGTAAGACCAAAAGTGAAAAGCCCCCTCAAGGGTCTTGGCATGTCACTTGAGCCCTATAGGCCTGCACCCTCCAACAGGTGCCAAGTGGCTGCAAGTCTTGTGACCCCGCCCTGCACAACACTCACTGAACTTGCAGAACTCGCACATCACAATTCAGGTATGATAACAGAGGTTGGGATAGCCCAGGCCGTTGATTGGTTATCTGGGGGTTGAAAATGTACAGCCTGCTTTCCGTGCCCCACGTGTCCATGCCGCCAACAGCATAATATTGCAACTGTGATAAGGTTGAGGGGTTAAAAGAGATAACAAAGAGAGCACATCCACGCCACCCAAGAGACTGCCAGGATATAAGCCAATGTTGGCAATAAACTGCATCAAGGTCTTGACTAAACGAGTTTAACATCGTAAGATTGACTTTTTCAGCTCCCCATCGTTAGCTTAAAATAACTGACGGGCGCTACGGCATAAGTTACAATTGCATTCATCGATCCCTGTCATCAACCTTGTCGCCTACGATTGTCAGCCTAACCCCGCTCAGCGGGCACAGGTGCTGTGGAATGGCGGCGGCTAAAGCGAAGTACAAGTTGAAGCTGAATCTTCGTCTTGCCCCTCGCCACATAGTCCTCAAACACAATCAGTCACGCAACAATACTCATACTGGCACCTGTGTGCAATGACTGAGAACATGCAGGTTGGGAGGTTAGACCTCGCCAGCCGAACCATTGACTTAACAACGGTTTTGCTTCGCGCAACCTCGTCGTCCGGGTCCCTGCTCAAAGGCGCCTGGGAGATTGGGCAGTGGCTCGGCCGCGAAAGGCTGAACCAGTACGAGCTTCTCGACTGCATGGAGAAAGCTAAGGGCTTCGCGTTTGCAAACCAGAGCGGTCAGCAGTTCTTCGACAAGATCATACAAGGACTCGAGACCTTGCCGGTTCGTCCACTATTCCTGCAGCAGTCAGGGTCGCTGGGCCGACTGATGGCCGGGGATCCGAGCCTGAGCTGGATCGTGTCGACTGTGGCATGCCTCTTCCAGTACCACAGAGATGACATGCTCGTGACCGACACGGTGACGGCGTGTATCATGGAGTCTCACCGCTTGAGAGAGCAAGAGCACGATGTCGTAACTCGAGACGCATTCATGTATAACCCAGAACATACAAGAGTGAGAGCAGTGGTGCGCAAGATTGTCTCAAGCGTGTGGTACAACGTCGTCAACGTTGGCTGCGACACAGTCCCGCTGCCCGACGAGCTCCTGGCCGTCTGTTCACGAGGCCACTACCTCGACCCTGGCGACTTCGGTGTCGTCGTCAACACCATATATTCTCGATGCCCGTCCAAGGCGATCCTGCGGACAACTCATCTTCTGCGCGATGTCATGCTGTGGCTTCTCTTGCACTACGACGGCGCGATTGTCGTCAATGTCGGAGGGCATATCGTCTACCGCGCGGATTTCGGCAACCCTCTGCGCGAGCTCGAGGTCAACGTCGCCTCTCCATGTCCCCAAGAAGGTGACTGTGATGTCGTGCGTCAGGCGTCGTACCAAATCCTCCGCCACGTTTCAGGAAAGTTTGAAGATTTTCTGACAGGCTATATTTCTTCCGACTTTGATGACTCACTGCCGCGACCGGGAATCCGGCAGAAGTTGTACGAGATTCCTCGGCTATATCCCAGGGCTAGTCCCATGTGGAACGAGGGTGTGCAGATATTGATCAAGTGCACAGCGCAGTCTATAATGCGGTGGTTGCTAGGTGTCCCGCTGTCCCCCCAAACAGACTCCCCAGGGTTTAGTGCCGAGCCGCTCCGACAGGCCGCCGAAGGCGAAATGACAGTCTCACTAGCGCTAGGAAACGTGCCATCAATCCTCAGTTTACAATGGGGCAGCTCACCCGGGGCTCACATCACCTTCAAAAGCCTGGCCGAAGTTACACGATCTTTCGCCAGTCACCGTTACGAATTTGGTGAGGGCGGTTTTACGGGCTACCGTTTGATTGCCCTCCTCGAACTCTTTCCGATTCTCAAAGACATGGCGTCTAAAGTGGGTGCGGAATGTCAGTGTTCAGAATGTTCATTGGTGAAAAGGGGGTCGGTGAAGCAGAGCGGCCTTAAGTCAGGTTGTCTTCGTCGTCTAGCCGTGGAGGAAGCTCTCTTACTCATAGCACACGGTGTCGCGGATGGATTCTGCGTTGACACTGCATCCTCTGTTTCTGATTCTACCCATATTGTCGAGGGAATGGCTACTCTGCTCTTGGAAATTTCATCTTGAGAGTGTTATCTTGAGTTGACAGACTTGCTTGTATCGGGCAGCTTACCTCTGGGTGTTTTGTGTGCTTTGAGCCTGATTATCCTCACGGACGAGCAGCAGCCACTTATTTATATGCCTCTGGAGTCAGTCATCAGGATATCTAGCTTTTTAGCCAAAAGCAAGATCCTAGGCAATAGTGAGGGCGATGAGTATCTCGCCTGTATGTGTTTTTTTGGTGTTCTTTACCTTTGTGGCCTTGAGGCTGAAGCCTCTTTTTGACCCCTCAACCCTATCACAGCTCTTGGAACTTATCCAACATAGAAAAGTCATGTGGGATACTTGGTTTACCGTAGCCTCGTGTGTTTACCTGGGTTGCCCGTTCCAGAAACCCGTGGATCCGACACACCCAGCCTTTGGCGGGACGGCATTTGCGGCGATTCAGTACGGAGATTTGGCGGCGCAGGCACCTTGGCTGGACTTGACTCGCGAGCTCTCCGTACATGGATGCTTCCGCATTGTTGGATCGAGGGGCCGACTTGGGGTCGTGACGCGGAGGTATGACGACCTACAGTTTCGGGGCGTCGAGGAAAACTTTGCGATTATCGAAACTGAGAACACAGAGGACACGTCCCACTTCTGTTCCCGCTACAAGAAGGCAGCGTCACTTATTGACCATGGTCTGAGAGTAGACGAGGACAAGACGTCAGTGAAAACTGATGTGATTCTTTGCCAGATAGACGAGAAATTCTATCGTCTCTCATTTCGCATCCAGACGAAGAGCCATTGGCGAATCGTGGACCCAAGTGATGCCTTGAGCGCCGTAATTAGTATTGGCTCTTCAGCCACCTGCCAGCACAATTGCCAGCCTCCTGAAGTCGTGCCCTTGAACGCAAAGATCTATACAATGGACGAAGTTGTTGGAAGGTGGCCAGACGTTGTCCGGAGTTCCGTTGGGACTACAGGTGGCAGCCATGCCACGAAGAGCGGTATATTCCACCTGACACATGTCCTTGACACTCATCTGAAAAAGAATATCGCCCTCGCTCTGTCCGTTTGCCCGGTCGCTGTACCAAATTACCCAGACATTGTCTGCACTACATGCATGCTCGACCACGCAGGAAAGGCGGAGCGGAAGCCCTACCGTGAAGGTGAGGGGGGGGATCCAGCGGACCGCTATGTCATCAATCTCAGTACGGGCTTAGGGGGGCAAGATGTTTCAATTGGGCGTAGTTTGATAGCGGCAAAGTGACCGTCCGAAAGTTGGACGAGTTGTTCACAGACCTAAGTGATATGTTAAGGCCATGAAGTTACAATTGACCCTTCAAAAAAAAAAAAAAAAAGAAAGCACAGGGATTATCTTGAGTACACAATAATAAACGGTTAAAAATTATTCAAAATAGATATATATTGTTCTTCATGATGTAATACAATCCCATCTATATTCTACCTCGCGCTATCACAACTGTCTATGACCTACCCTGGCTACTATACATTGATGCGATGACGCCAGACCAACTGCTCCTCACGAGCACTATAAGTCGAAGCCCCAAGAATAGCCCTCATCTGCTGCACACTCGTAAACAAAATCGGACGCGCGATGAAAAAGCGAATACCCTCGGTGCAAGGAGGACTCGTCAAGCTTCCCTCATAAGTCCAAAACTCATCAAAGTAATCAACACTCTCCAGGAGTAGCCTATGATTGAGAGTAGTCTCTTCGCTGACGTCCGTTTCGTTGAAGCCAATCATCTTTGGGAGCTGAGCAAAAAAGCTGTTTGCCTTGTTACCTGGATCGAGACGAATAGCAAGGACTGCACGTTCCTTGCCCTGCGCGTTGACGTGGACGAGATGAAGCTCGGCTCTGGAGCGGTGGCGCTCAACTGTGTGGTCGGCGGGGGCGTGGATGTGCCAGCCTTTGAGGTAAACAGTCTCGTTGTCGAAGCTGAAAGAGGGGTTCTGAGTCCAGATCTGATCGTCGTTCTGGACAGTGAATGCAGGCCCGTAACCCCAATTGAAGAAGTTGCCGGTGATTTCATCGGGATAATTCCACTCTTTGATCAGATGTTCCAGTGAGAGACCTTGCTTGAGCGCGATGGGGATGGGAGACTGCTGAGTGCCATCTTGGCAAAGATGGTAGTCTAGATGGTGTCAGTCACTGTCTGTCAGGACCCTCTATCAGATGAACGTACCAGGGTTGAGACGACCCCAATTGTAAGAAGCTTCATAAGCCCAGTCCGTTTTTCCAGGCTCGGCGCGAGGGTCAATGTGTCGCCTCTTGTGCTTGAGGGAGTAGTGATTGTTATGCTTTGCGCAGGACAAGACGCTGGTGACATACGTCGCCACTGCGAAAAGCTGAGAGACACGCATTGTAATGATGAGATAGAGAATAAGCAAGAGAGAATTGTGAAGAGCTGGTTGATGAGGACGTTGAGATGCAGCGTTCATGTGCAATTTTATATCTGATTGCGAAGGACATGAAAGACGCAGAATACAGTCTAGCGCGCAATAATGTCACTGCCAAGACAAAAGCGAGGCGCAAGATACCACAGACCACGGGGGCTTGGACCCCCGCAGCAACCCAATTGACTTTGCAAACTCTATCTCGAAGCCTATCGATAAACAAGATCCAAGTTTTTACCCTGTCATTCATATTTTCTTCTCAATGAATTGCCAATAACTGCTTGGTGACGTTTGTGAAACTTTCCATTCATGACCCACGTGGATGTTCCAGGCACAGCCCGCGCTAGAAAATGGGATTCTCCATGGGGTAATGCACTAAAAAATTAGGCTTTACAGTGGTGTCTTGGCGCTGACGGTCTAGAATCATCCTTGAATCTCCTGAACGGTGAGAGATAAAGGATAATGCGTGCTTAGCCAATGTTATTTGCAACTATCACGCTCCTTGTGCTTGGTCCAGATTGGTTGCGACACTAGCCAGTCCTTTTCACCCATAATTCCCGCTTGGAATCTTCCGCAGTCTTGCTGGGATCTTTGACATATCGCATCCTTCCTGGTTTCAGGGTAGCATCCAAAGACACAGCCTTGGACCAATGGTTTAAGGTTTCGGCATCTCGTTATATAGATTGCCGAAGCTTCCGAATTTGGCTTTGTCTCCGAAGAAACGAGGTCTTGTATTTCATGTCTTGATTCCAATTGGCACATTCGTCTAAGCTTCCATAAAGCCAAGAAACATAGTGCAAGCATCTTAGAAAGCCGTTTTGCCTACCCGAGACAGGCAGCTGTGGAATGTTACTGGGGGCATGAGATTGGCTCACCGTTCTGAGCCCTGGGCGCAGCTTCTTGGCGCATGAGATCAAACGAAACTAAAAAACGCAAAGACGATGGCTTTTCGTGCAGAAATATTTGCCGTCTTGGCAACGGTATAAGCCACAGGCAACGTCATTGCTCAAGACGAGGGAGAATACTAACCTGTATTGCAGCAATTTAGCACTACTCGGACTAGTCGCAATGTTAGTTCTAGTGAGTCAAGAATCAAGCTTGACAGTTAGAGTTTGTGCACGTTGAAAACCGTCCTCTGCTCGTCTCGTGACCGATGAAGGGGAGTTCCATTTTTAATTGCTGGTAATTCAGAAATGTCAGACTAACATCGGTCCGACAGAATCGCGAGAAATTGTCTCGACATGATTCATGATTCACGATTCATTGCCGTTTGCATCTACCGCCTATAGAGCTACCCTAGAGACTAATCGATACGATTATCGATAAGAAGATAAGACATCTTATCTGGGGCAAAACCTGGGGAAAAGACAAGGTCGCACTGATGTTCAAGCTCTGGCATATTTCATTTTGGGCCTATATTCGCTATATTTCTCAAAGCTCTAAGCTCAACTAAGCATTCTTCTCCGACCCCCCCTTCTCGAGCCAACGGGTAGTTTATTCTTTATCTCATAATTAAGCATAACTCATAATTCCGATTGCAACCCAGTAGTGTCACGTCTCGAAGGCTACTGCGTCACTTGTACCGGATTGGGCATCGGTGCCCCGGGGTAATTTGCTGGTGGATATTGTTGAGGAGTTTGGGGCTGGGCTGGAAAGTATGAACCTTTGTTGTCGTACTGATACTGATTCACTGTTGAGCCAGTTGGGAGAGGAGTTGGCGGCATCTGGTACTGTATAGCTGGTGCAGCTGGACTGGCCATGCTAGGGGGCTGAGGAGTATATGCTTGCTGAGGTTTAGGAGCCCAATCTTGAGGATTGTATGGTGCATGGGGTGCGTAGGTTGGTTGGTGCGGGGCAATCAACGAGCTTCTTCGGTCAACAGGTGCAGGAGCAGGTGCCGGGGCTTGTTGATAAGTGCCAGTGTGTTGAGGAACTTGGGGTGATGTATAGGCAGGCTGCTGATGATACTGCGGTTGAGCAGCCGGTATAGGAGATGGCTGATATCCCGTCTGGTGCTGAGCAACATGCTGCACCGGAGTCTGGTAGACATTTGCTGGATCAGCAGGCGGTGGCACCTGAGCTAGAGCAGCAGGCTGCGGTGTTGTCTGCTGCTGAACCGTCACAGCAGGTGGATATCCAGCTGGTGTTGCTGGGACAGTTGGGAAGTATCCCGCTTGAGGTGCACCAGCAATCTGCCCAGTCGGCTGCGGCTGTACTTGTTGAGGCATATAGGCCTGAGTGCTGTCCTGAGGAGGCGTAGGCAACACCATGCCTGGGACCTGTTGTGTCTGCGGCTGATGATACGGAGTTGATGGCGCAGGGGTAGCGGGAGGAAGAGCCTGATGCATGGCAGTCATGTTGAACGGTTGCGGTGTCACAGCAGGATTGTATGGCGGGACTGATGTCTGCTGGTGGTAGAGAGGCTGCGCCTGTGCGTGCTGCATGTTTGGTGCCTGCGGAGTCTGAGGAGGGTACTGCACGGCTGGAGTCTGTGGTGGTGAGAACATCTGCGTGTTCGCTGGGGGCATAGGCGATGGTGCACCGTATGTCGGGACTTGTTGCTGTGAGTAGTCATGCTGCTGTTGTATTGGCGGTTGTCCGGTGGCTTGCGGAGTCAAATAAGATTGGTACTGCTGAGCTTGCGGTTGGACGACTGGAGCCTTCAAGTCTTGGGAGTACCCATCTGGCGTAAGATTATAACTTTGCGGTACGGGCGTCTGACCAACAGCGACATTATATGGCGGAGGCGGAGGCGGAAGCGCCTGAGATGAACTCCCAGCAGCGTAAACTTGACCATTGTTCTGATACGGCTGGATTGTATACCCAGCCTCAGCAGCCTTAGCATCCTGCACAGCTTGGAAAACACCAGCCTTCTGGAACGCCTTTCGCGCATCCTTCTTCTTCAGATGGTCCGTATGCTTATGCTCAACCATCATCCCCGCGCCATCAAGCGCAGCATGCGACACGAGCTTAATGGCAGTCTCATTTGCAACAATTGATTGGATGCCGTGCTCTGCACCAGCAGTCGCTACTGCATCAGCGCCCATGCTTCCGACTCCCAGGGTGACAACGCCGATCGTCCCGCTGACCGCCATGCTTCCCAGAACATCGCGCTTTCGTGTCTTATGTGTGGCGTTAAGTCGATTGAGATGCCGTTCGATAATCTCGCGTTTCTTTCGTGCGTTGTGGATCGCTGGTGCTGCCATCGCGACTCCAATGGTCGAGACACCGAGCGTGAGGGGGATAGCGCATCCCGACACCGCAGTCGACGTGGCAGCGCCCGAAATTAGGCGGGTGTAGTGCTCCCATTCTCGCTGTAGCTCCTCGAGCGTCAAGCCCTGGCATTTCTGGTCGTAGGCCTTGAAGTCAAAAGGCATTTCGTCGTAGTGGTAGATTCCGTAGAGAGTTACAAACGAGAGGCCAAGAGTGCCAAGAGCGGGTATTTGTGTACCGACACATGGTTTCAGCTCAAAGTCCAAAATAGAACTGCAATGGTCTAGACCGTGGAGATAAGATCATTTCGACGCCCTAAAAGCCACGCGAGGCACATTCTCATGGAATTGGGCGTTAGTGAAGCAGAAGGGGAAGGGCTAAGTTGTTCTTGGGTTAGTGAGATGCAGTCGGGTTCAGCCGCACGAGGCATTTGTACAGGCTGAGTTAAGACAAGGCAGACATGCCCAATTGGAGGTCCTGATCAAACGAATGGGGAACGGCTACGTTACATGCAGAGTCGGGAGAGGGGTTCGCACAGCTTGCCAAAAAGGTCAACCGTCAGAATGTGTACGGTGCTCGCTGTATTGATATACCTTCAGCTAAACTGAGCGAAGTAAATCCTCTCAGAGCCTGTGGACCTAGTTGCTCTCGACCTTGCATCAAGATCTCATTGGAGTGATTAACATGGTTACTACCGTCAAATGTGTTTCTGTAAGCAAGGCATATCCAGTCTAACATTCCGTAAGCACAGCCACGAAAGAACGGTTGCAATCCTTGATTCAAAATACCGCAATTAAAGGTTATGATGCTAATCTATACAGGAAATTTAGTAGCGCGTCAATTAACAATCTTATGAGCATTATATCTGGCGACAATTTAATTAATCTAGATTAACTTTCAAGGCAGCTAATCGCTAGGCGCTAAAGTCGCGATGGCAGAACGAGACAGTTGGTACGACGATTTGATGCAACCCTCAGAGGCAACAGTCGAACTCGAAACCTACCCCACAGCCTTCAACGACTTGGAAAGCGCCAACTCAAGTAGAACTCATGGCCCTGGAGTTTTTGTGCCTCTGAACCCGGCGGCATCTGAATTTATCCCTTCTAGCTCCACTGTCTTGCAAGACTCAGCACTTCCGAGCATGGAGCCGCCATCGGTGCCTAGCACATATCTGATAGCGAGTACAATAGCCAGCACGGAGATCACAGCCCAGACTACTATTCCTAGCGAGAAACCGAACCAGAGCGACAAGAAGCAAGAAGCCGATAGCCCAGCTTTAACGCCATCAAGCCCCTTAAGGGAAAAAGATGAGGATCACGATGATCAAGCTTCAATTACCTCTGTGGGTTCTGCTACCTACACGCCGCAACAGAGGAAAGACGCCATCGAAAGATTTTCTGGGGCTGTGCGCAAGAAGCTCAACCATAGCATGCTCCATCTTGTGGCTGATGATGTTTCTCGCCCTCTTGTTGTCTCCCAGTTCCGCAAGGCTATCAAAGACTTCACCCAGGCCGTCAATGTAGACGAGTCTATAAAAGCACAGATACAAGGAGTCAAGATGATACGCAGATTGAGATCTGAGATTGCTATGAAATTACATGACTCACTGGTGGGATTAACTCAAGAAAAGGAGGAGGAGGAGGGCGCGCTCAATGATGGCGCTCTCGGCGATGGTGCGCCGCTGGGACTGGCGGAGAAAATGCGAAGCTGGCTTCCGGAAACAAATGTCGCCGGCTTGCCTGACCATGTTGAAGCAGATGGTCTCCCATTATATAATCAACCCCCCAGCGAAGCATGGTATGATGATCGATCGAGCGTCAGTTTCGGAGAGGGATCTGAGGATGAGACAGAAGTCGGGTTCAAGCTCGAAGGTGCGCCTAGCATCTACGGGCAATCAGTTGACCTATTGGCGGTCCTGAAGACTTTGACGGATCAGCCAGCATTCGAACAGCTCATCCACACGGTAGAAAGCTGCATACAACAGTACCATTGTGAAAAGATGCATTTGATACGGCAAAAAACGTCGCTCTCTCTGAGACGTTACTACCCTCAGCGCGAAGGGGAAAATACTATTCTTGGTGCTGTTTTTAATGTTGAATGGGACTTGAAGGGCTTCCTTGTTGAGAACTATCAACAAGGTATACATCAAGAGCTCGGGAAAGTAATATCAATTACCGGCACTATTGAGACAGCCAGGCTATGCTCAGTGAGTCAGTATATGAAGTGGTGTTGGCTCCATGAGAGTCCTCAGCTTCTCAGGGCTCTCGAAAAGGCGATACCGGAGAGTATGCTGGCCAGGAAGACTTGTAGGTTAATGAAATTCATCTTTCATTTCTGGACTAATCCTTGTACCAGGGGCCGGTCTTCTGTCAGATATTGCAACGAGAAATAAGATTACTATCGATCCATCCTTGCGAACTTTAAATGTTTCAGGGACCGAAAGTTTTATCATAAAGATAGCTCAGCAGATCTCGTGGCTAGCTGCTGCTTTTCAGGAGAAGAAGGAGAGCCTCACTTATGCGTATGTGGGATTTAGTGAGGCCACTCAGCCGGCCGCCGGCTTGCAAGTCCCAACCTTCAACATCGAAGTCCAACTCCATGTACTGCCAGAAAACGCCAAGTCAAAAATGTGTTGGAATTCTGTCATAGGCCCTGGCATCATTATAAGAGGATTCCCTTCACCCGAGAGGAAGCACAACGAGTGCGGACTGGAGGCATCAATTCGAGTCATGACACAGCTTCTGGGCCTGCATAAAGCAGTCACCTTTAAAGGTGGTTATGTCTTTAAAGGAAGATACACAGCTCTCATTCCAGTAAAGATGTTCCAGAACTCCATTCAGTGGCATGTCGTGGACGTGTATCCACGTAAGCTTGAATGGACTGACATTGATGCGCTCTGCCCCATTCGCCTCCTCAGGTACGCCAAAGCAGGCTTCTTTCTCGACACTAGATCATTTATTGGATGGTGTCCGACAGTTCTGGAGACTCTCGGTTTGCTTATCTATCTCGGTGTTCTTACTACTACTGACATTTACATACAGCAACAAGTGACTACGAATACGATCGAGTCCTCTATTCACAAGCAAGCGTGCCACATAGGTGGGCTCAAGTCGATAAACTACAGGTCGGTTTTAGTCAATGGGGTACAGTTACGGCTGAAGTCACTGTGGGGAAGAAGGATGGATATTTTTGCCAGCGACAGGATGACTACGATGCTCTCCTAGACGATGCCAAGAACACGCATATCATCCTATATGATACTGTCCAGAGAAGGGCTACACAGACTAATGCAGAAGACTTAATCTTGCACGTTCTACACCATCAACGGAACAAGAAAAGCAAAGATACACATCCGGATACATCTGACCAAGGCCAAGATCTTGATTTCGCGCACCCTGATCGAAGAGTGATCTCAACCCGTGAGGTCATGCTCAGGAATGCCGAAAGAGTATATTGTCATCGCCGTCCATTGTCAAGCTCTGAGCCTAAACCATGCCTTTTTAAGCATGAGTTCGAGTCACTTTATGCTACTATTGATGGACTCTGGGCCCAGGATTATCTCAATTCAAAGTCCTACGCAATGAAGTTGGGCCTAAGCCTGAAGCCCAGCATCAGCGGATGGGAGTACATGGACCTCGTTGAGCCCAGGAGATGGATGCCGCCAAAGACGACGAATTTGACAAATAAGTGCGGTCGTTGGAATGAATACGCAAGGGACATTAAAGCTCTGATATTTTTTGGATCCGGCTTTGGCGATATCCTAAGCGCTGCTTCGCCTCCAAACGTCTGTCCCGCACTCACTTCTGTTCCGAAAGGCCATTTCTGTTTAGGCATTCGAGTCGATACTCTGGAACGACTTTTCACCGTTCAAGGTTCTTTAGAAGACCAGGCGAGGCTTACTGCAAGCGGCCTAGCCTTATCTGGCTCTACCGAGCTTTTCAGAGTAAACGACGGAACACCTGGGCAGCGATGTGGTCCTCGACGGTTGGTACAGTTTATCAAGCCAAGGCTTACAAAGGGGGAACATAATTCGCTTCCTCTGAAAACAAACGGCGCAGTTATCATTGGTGGCATTGAAGACAGCGTTCTGCATAAGGACTGTGTTCTGGAGGGGACTAAGAAAAGTTCTGGGAGAAGTTCTAAGTGGGTGCGATTGGATTATTATGCTTCCTCTATACCTATGAGGCCAAGACCAACTACGTACTAGGCGCAATCGTTTTATGCCCAACTGAGGTTACTTCGTTAGCTCACACACGGCTCAACCCAGTAGTTAAAGAATTGGTTTGCCAATCACAATTCTATTTGACGCTCAAGCCGTCTTCCTGTGTTGTATCCATTCAGTATTTATACACTATTGCTCATTGACCAGTCCAAACACAAAGTCGTTGGAGTGGAGCACTGTGTGTACTAGTCTATAATAGGAAATTGTGCATTTCGACTCATCCAAGGTCATACCTTTTTAGCGGAACCCACCTCGCGATAATATAAGAACAACCAACTGAACACAAAACTTACATCTCACCAATTCATCATCTCAAATGACTGCATTAAACACCACCAACATGGACGACCTAGACATAGAGCTAGACATCATCGGCCAACAGCCGTTCATGGTCAAGATCTACACCCAAGTCAGCTTCTGCTTCCCCGTCACCGACCCCACCACGCACCCAACCATCACCGCCACCTTCAGAAGCGGCCTACAGCGTCTATCGCAGAGCTTCCTTTGGGTAGCTGGCCAAGTCAAAGACGATGGCACTGGCGTATTCAAGATCAGGCCGTTCGAAGAGACACCGCCCTTGGTAGTTAAGGATCTTCGAGATGACCCCTCAGCACCGACAATGGAGGGTCTGAGAAAAGCAGAGTTCCCCACGAGCATGTTTGACGAGAATAAAATTGCGCCGAAAAAGACTTTGCCATTTGGACCTGGTTTTTCACCTGATGATCCTTCGCCTGTGCTGATGTTTCAGCTCAATTTTATTGAGGGCGGGCTCATATTCACTGTCAACGGACAACATGGTTGCATGGACATGACGGGTCAAGATGAGCTCATTCGACTACTCTCGAAGGCGTGTCGCGGCGAAGACTTCTCGGAAGAAGAGAGATCAACAATGAACCTTGACCGCAAGACCATCGTTCCGCCGCTCGAAAATTACGAACTCGGGCCTGAGTTGGATCATCAAATCATCAAGCCCCCACCAACGACCGAGACCCCAACAGCGCGGCCAAAAGCAAGCTGGGCATTCTTCTCATTCAGTCCGCAAGCTCTGTCCGAGCTTAAAGACAAGGCGACACAAAGTCTTGACCAAAGCACAAAATTCATCTCAACAGATGATTCCCTCTCGGCGTTTATCTGGCAATCCGTCAGCCGCGCCCGTCTCCCCCGTTTGGATGATTCTACTTCGACTCAATTCTGTCGCGCCGTCGATGTACGCCCTCACCTAGACGTGCCAAAGACCTACCCAGGAATCCTCCAAAACATGACCTATAGCGTCTCGAGCCTCTCTAAAATCGCTAACGAGCCCCTCGGCATCGTAGCATCTCGCTTGCGGTCTCAACTCGGCCGCGACGATCTCCGCCGGCGGACCCGAGCCATGGTGACGTATCTTCAGGACCAGACAAACAGGGCAAATGTGTCTGTTACGGCAGATGCGAATCCATCGACGGACATTATGTTAAGTTCGTGGGCGAAGCTGAAATGCTGGGAGTATGACTTTGGACTTGGATTGGGAAATCCCGAGAGTGTGAGGAGGCCTTTGTTTGAGCCGTTTGAGAGTCTGATGTATCTCATGCCCAAGAGACCAGACGGAGAAATAACCGCGGCGATATCATTGAGGGATGAAGATATGGAGAGATTGAAGAGTGATGAGGAGTGGAAAGCGTATGGGAAGTTCATTGGCTAGGAAGAGGTTTGAGTGGTTCGCGGGGCTTCAATGCAACGTTCCAGCGGGGAAGGTCATGACATAATTCGACATCATGCGAGCTTTATGCTTATTCTTGTTTATAGAGTTGTATCCTGCGGAGACTATGCAGATCTCGGACTATTACCCAGATGTGCCGTTACTGTGATAGGTGCGGGAGATGTTGGTGACGATCGTAGGGCTTGGCGTTTGCGGAGGATGAGGAGTAGACCCGAGGCGATGGCCGATGAGATGAGGTATAAGTTAACTGTAATCTATGCGACTAATGATTTAGAGCACCACCAAGAGTTTCTTGGTATCGACTTGCACCATGGATTTGTCGGCGCTAGGATTCCCTGGGGTGTTGCCTGACTCGAGTAATTTGAACATCCTGCACCGTAATACCCTCCCAGCCCGAGCACACTTCTACTCCTACCCCGACCAGGAATCAGCTCTCTCATTCAATCGAGAACAAAGCTACTTCCACAGTCTCAACGGAACATGGAAATTCCACTACGACATCAGCCCTCTCGATGCCCCAATCTGGGAAACTGCAAACACCAGTTCATGGGATGACATTGAAGTCCCGGGTATGTGGCAGCTCCAAGGCTACGGACATCCCCACTACACCAATATCGACTACCCATTCTCCGTCACTCCACCCAACGTTTCATATGTCAATCCCACTGGTTCCTACTGGCGACAGTTTGAAGTAACTGAACAGTGGGATGGTGATCAGATCAGACTGCGGTTTGAGGGAGTTGATAGCGCGTTCCATGTGTGGGTCAACGGCGAAGAGGTTGGTTATAGCCAGGGGAGTCGTAATCCGAGTGAGTTCGACATCACGGACTATCTCACTCCTGGTCAGGCGAATGATCTTGCTGTAAGGGTTTATCAGTGGTCTGATGGTTCGTATATCGAGGATCAGGATCAGTGGTGGCTGTCTGGTATCTTTCGCGACGTTTACCTCATTCCGTTCTCTGAATCATCGATCGTCGACTTTCAGGTTGACTCTGAACTTGACGACTCATTTGATGAAGGTTCGTTTAAAGTCAATGTGACCATTCAAGGAAAAGAGGGCGACCTAGCCATCAGCCTGCTCTCACCTAATGGTTCCACTATCGATGAATGGAAAGGGTCGTCTTCAGATATCTACGAAAAGAAACTGTCCGCAGATGACTTTCACATCTGGTCCGCTGAAACTCCAAACTTGTACACCTTGCTCATCACTTTCAACGGACGAACTATTATTCAAAAGGTTGGTCTCCGTCGAGTCGAGATTAAAGGATCCAACTTCTATGTCAACGGAAAACCCATCATTATATATGGAGTCAACAGGCATGAACATCATCATCTCACTGGAAGGACAATTAGTTACGAGAACATGCGAAAGGATCTCTTACTCATGAAGCGATCAAACATCAACGCCATCCGCACGGCTCATCAACCTCCCCATCCTGACTTCTTTGACGTGGCTGACGAGCTCGGCTTTTACGTCATCGCTGAGTCAGACCTTGAATGCCATGGCTTTGGTAGCATTGAAGAGACAGAAGAAGAAGCTGCTGAGTGGCTGTCCAACAACCCCGATTGGGAAGAGGCCTATGTCGACAGAGCTCGTCAGCTTGTGGAGCGCTTCAAGAATCATGCTTCAGTCATTATCTGGTCATTCGGCAATGAGTGCTTCTATGGTCGGAATCACGCTGCTATGAGCAATTGGATCAAAGAGAGGGATCCAAGTCGGATCATACACTACGAACAGGATCGTAATGCGACGTCGACGGATATGTACAGTCAGATGTATAGCACGCCTGATGATGTAAGGGAGTTTATCAAGACGCACACAGACAAGCCAATACTGCTGTGTGAATACGCCCAGCAAGCATCTCTCCATCCTCCACATGGTAGTAAGCTAACAGTACCAGTGCCATGGGGAACGGTCCAGGTGGTCTTGTAGAGTACATCGACCTCTTCAGAACGGAGCAACTCTCCCAAGGAGGCCTGGTTTGGGAGTGGAGCAATCATGGACTTCTGAATAAGGAAGAGAACGTAACATACTACGCCTACGGAGGTGACTTTGGTGACGAACCCAATGATGGGGATTTTATCATGGACGGTCTTGTGCTGTCTGATCACTCACCTATGCCTTCGTTGCAGGAGTACGCCAAGGTAATCCAGCCTGTTTCGGTGAAGCAGGCGAAGAATGGAAGTGCAATGACTGTTATTAACCACTATGACTTCTCGGACTTGAGTCATCTCGATGTCTCGTGGCATGTTGTCGCGGATGGCCTCAAGACGGATGCTCGGCCGCTTGAACTTCCGAGAATACCCGCTGGTGAGAATAGGACTGTGGCACTGCCTTCGGGATTGAACATCACGAAAAACGAGGCATGGATCACTATTGAGTTTAGATTGAAAGAAGCCACCGTTTGGGCTCCCAAAGGCCACGTTATTGCATGGGACCAACTTCACATCCAGCGCCCCAGCCTCAAGGCCCCGGATCTATCGCTTGTCCGTCGTCAAGACAGCGGCGAGTTCCAGAAGAACGGAACGAAGCTTCTCTACAAGAGTGGAGATTCTTCCTTTGGATTTGACTTGCTTCAGGGAAATGTCACTTGGAACATCAATGGCGTGGATATCTTCCAACGTGGCCCTGAACTGTCTTTCTATCGCGCCCTCACACAGAACGACGCTGCTTCCTCTGGCGATGGACCAATCTGGGAACAAGAAAAGATCCCAATGATCTACCCTCAAGTCAGAGACGTCACCTGGCGTGTCGACGATGATGGAACTACTGTGCACTATAAAGTCTGGGTTGGCGTCAAGACGCGTGCTTGGGGCGTTGAAGCGGACATGATCTACAGGATCCCGACTAGCGGACCTCAACTTCAACTCGAAGCCCGGGGCGAGTTTGTCAGCAAGAATGAGTCGCATATCATTCCTCGTATTGGTCTCATGGCCGTTCTCCCCGAGTCATTCGACGATGTGTCATGGTTTGGCCGAGGACCTGGAGAGAACTACAAGGACTCCAAGCAAGGTTCCCGTATCGGGCAGTATAGCTCCACAGTCCCGGACCTGTTTACGTACTATGATTACCCTCAAGAGAACGGAAATCGGGAAGACCTGCGATGGCTGAAGATTGGAAACAAGGACGTGACACTTGCTGCGCGACGGACGAAGGACGAGCCATTCAGCTTCACGGCTCGGAGGTACATGCCTTTTGACCTGGATGATGCACAGCACCCGCATGATCTGAAACCACTAAACATGACGGTTCTGCACCTTGATTACGATAACAACGGGCTTGGATCGGCTACGGTCAGGGTCAGGCCGTTTGAGAAGTACAGGTGCTACACTAAGCCATTCAACTTTATCTTTGACTTCAACATAGTCTAGTCCTACTGTCAAGAGCTGCAATCTCAGTGTAATATGATTATGCGACTTCGGTCATGATAATAATTGATTACTGAACTTTGTTCTTCCCGAGATGTTGCAGCACACGTGCATATCGGTGAGCATTTTGGGGGACGTGTCTAGTTACACGACTGCCACCGTTATGTTTGATCCCGAACATACTCGTTCCCAATTAGGAATACGAAGAGATGGTTTGGTAGGTGACTTGTCTAAGCGGGCCGACACATTAGCGCTCAGAGCACCACGTTCGCGATTAGTGATCAATAATTACTGATCAAATCGCACGACCCGAGACCGGAGCGAATTGTAATCAGGCAAAGAAACTATTACAAAACCCTCCGGTAATCTTTGTATTTTGTAATCTTTGCCGGATCGTGTTCAGCAATGCCGATATACATAAATGAGGTAGCTAAACTTCAAGATGCCATGCATGAATCCTACCCTCTAACTTTAGAACCATCAACATTTCCCAAACTCTATTAAACCACCATTAAATTATCTCTCTCGCTGAGAAAGTCATGGTTCGTCGCATCTTTGTTATCGGAGCCACAGGAGCCCAAGGTCTCCCCGTCTGTCGCGGCCTCACCAAAGACGGGGCTTACAGTCTACGAGTCCTCACTCGCGATTCCAATTCCAAGCGGGCCCAGGAATTAGCCAAGCTAGGTGATGTTGAGTTCATTGAGGGCTCATTCGCCAACGAAGACAATCTTCGAATGGGTTATCAAGGTTGCTGGGGCGCTTTTGTCAACATTGACGGCTTCAACACTGGTGAAAAGACAGAGACGTACTGGACTATTCGCTCTTATGAATTGGCAATTGAGTCTGGTATCAACTTCTTTGTTTTTGGAAACTTAGACTATGGGTATAAGAAGAGTGGCTATGATCCCAAATTCCGCTGTGGCCATTATGATGGTAAAGGCCGAATGGCGGAGTGGATGCTGAGCCAGAGACAGAGTTACAACATGGGCACTGCAATCTTTACTACGGGTCCATATATCGAGATGGCAATTTCAGCACAGACGGTTATGACTCCACGCATTGTTGAGGGAGTCGTCACTTGGGCTGTCCCTCTAGCTGATGGAGCAATCCCTCATGTCGCGCTCGATGACTGTGAGCACTATGTTCGCTGGCTGTTCGATAATCCCGAGAGATCTAATGGACTCGATCTCAAAGTTGCTATCGATCACATCAACTACCACGATCTCGCACAAGCGTTCCAGAAGGTCACTGGCAAACCTGCTAAGTTCATCGACATCCCATTGGAGACATACTTCGAGCACATTCCATGGGCGGCCACCGCTCCTGCTGGCTACAATGCAGATTTCAACGATCCTGCGACCATGTCATTTAAGCAGAACTTTACTGGTTTCTGGAATATGTGGAGACACTCTGGTGGGAACAAGGGCGTTGTGAAGAGGGATTATAAGCTGTTGGATGAGATTCACCCGAATAGGATCAGGACTGCGGAAGAGTTCTTCCGTAGAGAAGAAGAGAAGCGCAAGGCGCAGGGACTGCCAAGTATCTTTGAGATTATTGAAAGCGGGAATTTGGGTATGATCTTGAAGTTGAGTGAGGACGGGAGAAAGGGGAAGTTATAGGTGGCATCTTGCCTTTAAGCCTAATTGTGGGAGACATAAATATTATTATCATAGGCATCGACTCTGTAATAAATAGAACATAAACATTTGTTGACTTTGCAATATTATCAGGACTATATCTCGTATATTGCTGCCTTTCTTGCAGACACTAAACAACGGTTTATGTTTCGCCAATAGAAATTCCTTCACCGTCGTTGATCGTGGCTCAAAATCTCCCAATCCAATACCATATTATATCTGAGGCCTTCCTGCTTTCTAAGACAATTGACAAGAGTCTTATTTGGAGTTGATAGACCCAATAGCTGATGGCTTACATCACGCGCCTCGCACGGTATGACCACAAAATTTATGGCACCATGTGAATAGCCTTTATCGGTGAAGACTTCCAGCGCGTTGACGTGGCACGCCGTGACGAGCCTCGCTCTCTCGCCTCTCAAGGCCCCAGTCTTCAACCTTGGAGTCTTCTGGCAGAACTGGCTTTCCACCGAGACTGGCCAAAACAGTTTTATTAGTCGCTGTGAAGTCGTCTAGAATCTGGAGCTCTTTCAGTGTGAACCATCGTGGAACGACGAGAATCCGAAGAGGAATCATTAGAATGATCAGAACCGGGAATCCAATCGCTGCTATAGTATGTGATATAGCCACGCATGCTGCGACACCGATGAACTGCAATGCAATGTAAAGAGAGACCTTACGTCGGCGTACTCGAATGATGGGTTCATCGCGCTGAATAAAGCGTTGCTCTGACTGGAGATAGATGAACTTCTGGAGGATGCCATTTGACTCGATGGATCCCCACTAACAAGATTATCAGTATCATTTGCTATCGGAGGCCAGAACAAGTAACTTGGGAGAAGATACTTACGCCAACAACAAAAAATACACCAGCAAATACCGCGGCTGGCATGAGACGCAACACGACAAGAAGAGGTCCTGTCATAGTCCCTATCAACCCTAAACCCATCAAGAAGTGCGACACGCGCTGTTCAACCACCGCAGTTGCTCGCACGATGGGACGCCGTATTTCTTGATTCTCTCCCCCAGACGTCGGAATGATCTGAAGTTCGGTTTCGTAGATAGTCAAAGAGTCGGTATGAACAGGTGCCTGTCGCAGTCAGCGGAAACAGCATAAACATGTGCGAATCAGCTTGCTGTACCTGTGGAACAAGGCCGTTGGGCATGGGTAATCCAAGAATACCAGACAAAAAAGTCGTACAACCCAGAAGAAAAAAGTCCCAATGGAATCCACCAGGCTTCTTGAGGGGATACTGTCGAGCTTGAGCCGTGATACTGCTGACGTTCTGTAAGAGCTATTAGCAAGGCAATTGTGGCTAGGCAAAGGAAAGCCGCACTCACATGGTCATAGTAGAATAGAAGCATTATTAAAAGACCGAAAGGCATGGCTACAAATACCCATTTGGCTTCCAAGTTCCAGAAGTCAATGAGCCAGCTTCTGGATTGAGTGGGGTAGAAAGCTCTGGTGATGGGTACTCGCTCGATGTGTGTTGAATTAATATTGCCAGGGAAGTGAGAGAAGCCAACCCAAAATATCGTCCCGAACTGACTGTATTAGCGATGCATCATCACTCTAGTTGGGTTTGCGGAAATATTTACCACGTAGGCATAGTCTGCGAGTAGCGTACGGGCACTTGCCTTCCAGATGGTGCTCGAGCCTATCTTCTCTAGACCGTAGACAGTGCCAAAGTAGAGAATGGCAATCAGACAAGCCAAGTACCCTGCTGCCTGACCGCCCTTGTCAAACTCATTGACAAGTTCCTCGACACCTTTGACTACACATACTGTCAGCTACCAATACGATAAACGATGTGCAAGACACAACTCACTGATGTATATAATACCGACATACATGCCAAACGACTCGCTAGAAAAGTCCGTCACGTAGCGCATGTAGTCGCACGTGTTAAAGATGGCAGCTAGCCAGTGAAAGATTGCAGCCCAGATACCAGTCCAAGCCATGAACTGGGGGTAGATGGAGACATCGTACATGCTGATAATGTCATAGATGGTGAAGTTGAATAGTGAGATGAGACCAGTGACGCCGACGATGGTGAGCGGCTGGGCACTGAACAGGCTGAAGACAATGGCTGCCATGGCGGAAGAGAACAGAGCTTCGTTGACGCCAAAGAACTCCCCGGTTCGGCGATACATGTCGAGAGTATAGGCTATAGCAGGGAGGAGACTATAAAAGGCGCAAGAGTTAGTGGAATAGAGATGCACATCGTGGAAACATACTTGACAAAGTACATTCGGATTGTACTGGCGACAGTCCTGTAAGTAAAAGCATCGGTGATATCACTTGGGTAGTAAGGAAGTCTTCGCTTGACATCGTGGTACATTCCCCTACCGGGATGCAAGATTCTCCACCGCCTCCATCCGCGTCTGGCATCGTAGGAGTACGACAAGTTTGACTTTTCTTTACTGAGTGCACCGTTGCCAGGCGAGTCACTTTGCTCGGTTTGGCTCGACATGTTGGTACGCATTAAAGGAAGTTGTGCATAGGCCGCTGAGTCGTAGGGTGATGGCAAAAAGCATGGAACGGTCATTTGGGACTGGTAGGATTGGTCTCTTTATAAGACTCAGGGACCGGGTACAGGATTTCCCTCTAGTTCTGGCTCAATATAGAAGACGGGGCCAGCGCCCCTGTCGGTCCAAGACATCATCCAGCGGGGCCGCTCTTTGCCGGACCCGGGCAGAATTTCCGTACAATCTCAGGGGCATCAATGGTTGAAGGCGATCTTTCAGCGGGCAAAGCCATGTCTAGAACGAATGGCACAATAGAAATCTGATAAGCAGCTTGAAATAAACATCTTGAAACCTGGCATACTGCTATGAGGGCAACAAATTCAGATTTTGCAGTCGGTTTTTTTTTGACAATACTCATTGCATGTCTTGTCCATGAGCTGGATGATGACGTCGTGACTCGGGCACTTTCTTATCCAATCACAATCGAGAATTGACCACCCTTCATCTACCACCGGCGGCGCCACCATGGATTTTCTGCCCAGGCAGAATTCTCCTCCATCATTTCCACTCACATCCCATTTTCTCTGCCGCGATACTCATAATGTTGGATGACGCGACATATCACCTTCCAGATGCTGTCCGGACAGATATTCTGGAGAAACTGAACACATCACTTTCAGACATTGCATGGGCCAAGTTCGATAACCCGGTGCTACGCTTTGAGGCGTTTGTACAAGAGGGGAATAATGGAAAATTCGAGTGTGGCACTCTTGAGACGAGTGGACGGCTTCACCATCTTTTCTCGGTATGTTGCGTGTACTCAAACAGACCATTTCCAAGACTGAAACCCCCAAGCACCAAATTTCAGTCCGTCCAACCACGTCATCACATGCATCTTCTCACCCCGATGTGAATGGCGAGTCATACTCTCAAACAGAGGAACATCCTCGTTCAACAATGGCCTCGAACAATACTGTAGGCCATCACCCTTCATCGGCGTCAAGACCGTCGCGCAAGCGTCGGCAAGGCGGTCTACGCCCTGCCATTGCCACTGCGGCAATGGACGAAAGCTTGGAAGTACCGCGTCAAATGCAGATCAGCGCCGGCAATTTCCCGAAAAGGGCAAAATTGAAACCTGACGGTGTTTTCCTTCCCCGCGAGTCATCTCTGGGTAAGTTCATCATCGGCGTATGGGAGCAAATACATTCGGGCCTTATCCTGGAACCGCATGTTCTTACTGAGCAGCTTCAACTCACTGCCGATGCATCGGCCCATACAAACTCCACGAATGAAGTTGGGATATCAACAGATCTCTCTACAGCGAGTCTCTCTACAGCGAGTCTCTCGGAAGGCTCGTTCGATATGTTCACGCGAGGAAACGTGTTTTGCCAGAGAGTCACCCAGGCGAGTCGGACCTGTCGATCCATTGAAGTCATCGTTCAAGCTCGCTGGATCGAACTTTTCGATTCCTACGTCCAACATCTGACTACTGGAAGCCCTGGAATCTCACCCACAAGAGCACGCATGAAAGCGTTAGCTGAAGCCTGTAGCGACTTTGGCTGGAGTGAGAAAGAGCTACGGAACAAAATGGCGATTTGGCGAGGCTATAAGGAGATCAAAGATGTGCTGGGCTGGGGAGCTCTGGTATTCTCTGGAATGGGCCTGTATCGCCTTTGCAAATACCGCATCGACTTCGATAAGGACAAGTTCGGTCGAGCACGAGCGTTGAGAGGCCGGATGGAAGTCGCTGCGGATACTCTGCACCGCAATTGGCGTCAACTCCTGGCGATTGTTGGGGAACCTACCGAGCAACGCTTCACTGGGCATCCTCACGACTGGGTTGTCTACCAAGATGGATCGGATCCGGTTCCCCTTCGATCAACGTATCTACAATACGACCCGAATTTTAGCTTTGAACATGTTGACGAATGTGTCGTCGACACCACGTGGTGGGGAGCTGATGATCCTCGCTGGATGCCGCCGGCTTCTCGCTCTCGAAGCATTACAAACAAAAACACTTGTGTATTGTGCGATCAAGTCCAGTCGGGCGATGCCGTATACAACTCATGTAAATGTTTCTCCAGCTTATTCAGCGGACCGAGGCTACCACCTGCTGTGCAAATCTTTAGAACTTCTGACGGTCGCAACAACGGCCTCCAAGCCCTCGTTCCCTTCGAGAGAGGCGTCGCCATTGGAGAATTCACAGGGCTCGTGACAAAAGGCATCAAAGACCAAGACGTGCTCGATAGCAAGGTCGGTGACACACGGTACCAGATATGGCAGGGCAGACAGGGCAACTTTACAAGGTTTGTTAATCACAGTTGCAAGCCGAATGCACAATTTGAGAAGTTTACGTGGCTGGGGACAGAACATATTCTGCTGGTGAGCAACGGAATTGAGGCTGGTATGGAGATCACGGTTGACTACTCTGGAAGCTACTGGCGAGGGTTGGATAAGAATTGTCTTTGTGGTGAAGTTTGCTGCAGGTATAAAGCAAGCGATGAAACGTGAAGGAATAGGGGCGATAACTTGTTATATTCACTTTTACTCAAAACTAAAAGCGTTTAAATCTTTAAACAGTATTTTTTATGAAAGATAAGAAATACAAAAAAACCAAGGATGTTATTTCATTTATAAGATAAATAAAAGTAAAATGTTAATGAATCTCAAGTTTACTTCAGATAGAAGGAAGGGAAACTCATATTAGTATTTTTCTCGAGATTCCAGGCAATTATTACTATAACATAGATAATATTACTAGGTGTATTACGGAGTATACACGCTAGAAACTAGCATCCTGGTAGGCTCTATTGCCATGCTGTCATCCTCCCCCCACCTTATTTTTAAAGGAAAATGATATTTGATTAGCGCTTTAAGACACATACAGTCAATGAGTGCTGCATTCTTAATTACTGGATACCCACCTAATCTCAACAGAATCACGAGTCTGCATGATTAAATTCACTTGCTTCGGCTAGGCGTTGATTCAAGTTCTAAGCGCGTCTCATTTAGCGACTCAGCCCGACCACCATTTGTCGCGTCATCATATGCCTCGGCGATTTTAGTGACACTGCCGCTCGATGAATCAGGCCAGACTATTGCCGCGACTCGCAATCTCCATCATGTTCTTGGCTGCCTTTTGGCATCTGGCTTCGATTAGCTTCTCTGGACCTATGCTCTGTGTACAGACTAGAAAAATCGAGAGGAGCTTGTACCTCAAGTGGCCATGATGGGGGACATTTACTCACATGCACAATCCGTCCTTGATTTGCTATGGCTACAGTCAGATCCCTTCAACTTGGGGCTGGAATATATAGAGGCGACTGCGCGCGATAAGATGATACACTTTGACCAATCCATCTCACTGCATTTGACAGTCCAAGGTCTTAATGCCAGCGATAGGCCTCTGCAAGACTCCAACATCGGCTTCTTCGCTACTACCTGGTGGCCCAGAGTATAGACAATCCAGGAATTCTTATCAGCACAATAGGTCATATTTCGATGCCACAATCGGCTTTGTGACTCGTTAATTGTAGGAAAGACTTGGACTGATTGCAAGAACTCGTGCTGTTAGGGTGCTTGCCGACCGATAGATGGTAGTGCGTATGATTTCCTCGACATACCCAGTGAGATCAACGGCAGTCTGACAATCTATACTGAGACTCTACGAATGAAGCACCTCATCGATATGCTTGTTTGTGGAAAACTATACACTGAGTACTCTATTGCAGCATTTTCACTTTTTCGGGTTCGTCCCTACTCAGATCCACGGGATAGAGCATTTGAGTACTTTGGACTGCGTTAGCCGTGCCTAGACATGAAGGGGGAAATATTGGTCGATTACAAGATCCCTTTGGTGGATCTTTAAATTCGGATCTTTGAAAGGGCCTAGCCCTCGCATTGATTGGGAAGTCTCAGACACTAGACGGGCTCAGTCACGGACTCCAGGAGTCGGGCATTAAGAAGCAGACTGAAGGCTTGCCAAGCTGCTTCCAGGACTGAGATACCGCCATAGATGATCGATACAGTTTGACATACACCGAACGTACCAGCGTGGTCCGACATTGCCGTACCTCAGGCGACATGAAGCCAGAATGGACAGTGATAGATTCAGACCATGTCATGACTCGTGGCTTATAGATTGCGGCGATCGAAGCAATAGCACCTGGCTACTCTTCCATCATCCCTAGTTCGACACTCTGAGGCAAAACGGTCATAAACCAGTGACGTCGACTCGCTAATCTATCTATTTATTTCATTAGATCTCCCATTAATAAAACATCTTGCAGCTTAGCTCCTGGGAACTTGCGTTTGAGAACGCCCTCGGTGTAGGTTTTATGTCAATACAGTGGCGACATGGCCGTCTCGAGTATTTAGAGACATACCATACTTGGCTCAATTGGCTTATGCCCTCAGAAGTAGCCTTACGCAAGTCATATAAACAGATAATTCAAGATTTTAATAAGCTAATTCGGCAGACAAGTAAACGCTAAAGGTTTATCGTGAGGGGTGACGGGTAAATAGGTTTTAGCCAGGAAGGAGCTAAGAAAGGAGGTGTAATTGTGATTATACCTTGAGGGAAGGTTACATAAATGTTTAGGTTAGCTGAAAGCTCTAATTGTGGAGTGAGAATATATCCTTTGCTGAGAGATACATTTATCAACGGTGTGACGGCGGATAAAAAGGTCGACCTATTGAAGTCGGAGTTGACCAAGATCGTTATAGTATGATAGCATTGGGCTCCCGGCGAAACAATACCATTTAACTCGGGGACAAAACTCTATTTTTATTCTGTCATAGAGGCTAATTATAGTGTAAAGATGGTCGTTAAATCGTTAAGCGCGCTCGCTTGGGCATTGGAACTCATTCTGGTGCAATGATTTGATTTGATTTATAGGAATTTTTCACTATCAAGTAAGGGAGAATATAATTTTTACGGCATAGGAATACAGCTAAACGAATGGTAACAGTTGCCTTTCTCATCATCAACAACCTCCAGCCAAGCTCTTATCAACCTTTTGCCACTCTTCACCGCTTTGGTTGTTCAATCCAAGGTTGTGATGCTTATCTGTTATCACAGTCGCTGGCCTGAAATTGCGACATGCTCAGGATTTCGTTCTCATGATAATCCCCTGGCTGGAGATCGCCTTGTAACATATCTGCCCCCCCAGGCTGAAGCTGACGCTGGTAATCGTGCGAGTTGTCGATCCAACTATCACCTCGTGTCACTCCTCCGTTTTCTGGTGCAAAGCTCGGTCCGGGGTGGTGGGTTATGTTGCTCATTGGTTGTTGAACCACTGATACAGTCATTTGTGATTGGAACAGTGGCAAATCGCTGTTTCTATCTATACCCTGGAGAGACTCAAAGGTGTTAAACCCTGTTGGTATTTGATCCGAGAAAGCTGTGCTCTCTGTGAACGTGTCGAACTGATCATGACTCCGGAAGAAACGACTTGAATTTGAATCGAGGCTTGAAACAGCTGGGGTATGGAATTGCGAACGGCGCCCACGACTATAGAAGGGATCTGGCTGGGAAACTGGTAAAAGCTGATATTGCAGATACTGAGTGCTTGACGATGGCTGTGGTGACATAGCGGACAGGGGTCTCCCAGGCAAATTGTCAGTAGTTATCGGGGTACGCCCAAAATTGTTTTCAAGGTCCTCTATGAGTTGTCCTAGAACTTGACGGATCTCATCTTCGCTTTGGCAGGCATAGAGCTGAGAGATTGTGTTTTGGTTCATCACTTTGCTGCGGTGTTGTTGGATGGCATCTGAGACAGCATTCGCTTGATCTAGGGTGCCCTGTCGGTTAGTAATAGCTACCAAACATTTGAAACCTAGGCGACAAGCTGTAAACTCACATGGGTTTGGGGTATCCATGTCCACGGGCCAGTCTGGAAACAGCACTCTAAATATTGCTTTCCAGCAACTTTCAGGAGGGTTCTTGCTAGGCCGAGTTGGATCTGATTTCAGATCTTGAGCCTGTTCCAAATCATACCCATCCTCGTAATCATCTCCAAAGGCTTTTCTTTCACATGGGCTATGACCATCCAGGTCTTCGCGGAGGAAGCGCCTTTTACAGATATGACATCGCCGCCGACCGACAGAACGATCATGGGTGTTCTTTAGATGTGATCTATATACCAATTAGTCATACTAAGGATTGAGGAGATTTCAAGCCAATGTTTCTCGGGGCTTGCAGCTGAGAATGCGGAGATGGACTTACTTTAGGCGGTCAATATTCTCAAATCCCTTTCCATTGCAGGGTCCGCTTGCAAACCTTGCCCTGTTCTTCTTATGATACGGACAAGCGAAACGGTCCCCATTTGGTTCTGATCGACGATGTCTCTTCCCCGAATTACCTTTGATGTTTTCTTCGTCGCTATCCTCCAACTTGTGCTTATTAACGCCTCGGTTTGTAAGTATTAGACCGTCAGAACATTGGTTCAGCGCCTGACTGTCCTGGTTGCCGATTGGAGATGTCTGCCACTCACTACCGCGTTGATAACATGCCAGGATAACGATAGCTGACAAAACGGTATGGATCCAGGAGCCCTTGCTTTTGACTTCAGATATATCTTCCTTGAGTTTCAATAGTTCCTGTGACTTGAGAACTCCCAGCAGCAACTCAATTATCTTCTTTCGGCCTCGGCTAACGGCATGATGAAGTGGAGTCCATCCATTCTTGTCTCGAGTATCGACTTTGGCGCCTCGGGCAAGAAGTTGATTGGCCCCTCTGATGTTTCCAAGAGAAGCAGCATGGGACAGGCATGCTTCACCAGTATGGATGCTAGAGGCGTTAGGATTCGCACCAGCCTGCAAGAGAAGCTCCGCGATGTCCAGATGACCACTGCGACTTGCTAGCCAAAGTGGAGTAACTCCACTGCTACTGTCTTCGTAGTCAGACCCTTTGCTGAGTAAAAGCTCGACGACTTCCCTATGGCCATAGGCTGCGGCATAACTCAGTGGAGTTTGACCGTAGATATAATCTCGATGACTCATGTCAGCGCCATTATCAAGCAAGATCTCACAAATATGATGATGACCCATCGCTGCAGCCAACGAGAGAGGAGTACGCCCATAACGATCCCCCTCATCTATCTCTGCAAGCTTCGCTCCCCAGAGGCCTGTGTCAAACCAAGGTAAGCCATAGTATGACATGACATGTACTGCCTTAGTCTTGTGCGGCTCAAAGAGTTTCTGATCCTTGAATACTCGGCTGTGCAGCAAAGACCACTGGTCGACAAAACCCTTTTGAAACTGGGAAAATTGGTACATCTCCTTCTTCATGGGGCTTACCCCGGCTCTATCGGCGAGGCCAAGATGTGCCATGCCAAACCGTAAGGAGTACTCCAGAAAAGCGGCTGAATTGATTGCACTCTCGCTACTCAGGAGGTTAGAGCGCATGTATATGTGGTCAACATACAGGAGGCATATCCAAGCAACTCGGTAGTGGTACTGAGCATTGTAGGCTTGCAAGTCAGTGGATTTGAGTTCTGGAAAAGACAATTTCGAAGTGAGACTGTCACCCTCAAGGACGCAGGACCCCCTTTCCTGGAAGTATTTTCTCACGCTGTAGTGCACGAATTGCACCATAGGTTCCGTGTCCGTCTTATCGTTTGCGGAATTGGCCTTCCGTGGTGCTACCTCAAGAAGGCCGCCACACAGAAGCATCAACTGCATACTCATGTCTAGTGACGCTTCGCCCTGTATCGTGCTCATTTTGTTCCTCCTACCCCAATCATTTACTTCGGTATTACTTCGTGGAGATAGAAGATCAGGGTCATAATGCATCGCAGCCAGGGCACTGCGGAGCTCGAGTATTGAAAGTGGCCGCTGAGCGCATAATACGAGGGCGAAAGCATCCTGGGCCATCATTCGACGGCTTACATCATGCCGGCTCCATAGCTGCTGTAAGATCGCCTCGTATGCCGCATCGAGGGTTGTTGGTAGCCAGGGTGTAGAGTGCTGTTCGGATTTGGGTATCTTGAGGTGACCATCACAGCGCAGCTGTGATATTGTCAACGAAGCCCAAAGAAACACCCCTTCGGCCTTCTCTGCCAAAACTTGAGCTTTGTGTTGGATATTAGAGGCTGGGAGCAGATGGTCTTCCATGGCTAGAAGGCTTTCGCTAAAATATCGTTCTATGTCGAGGGAGTTATTGTCCTCTAAGCGGATTTTCGCGCCTGGCACGGAAAGGTTGCTCGGTCGAGAGGAAATACATATTCGTAGTTGCCGACTGGGACTTGAATCATTAAGACGACAAAGGAAAGTAAGAAGCTTAGCGGGATCGTCACACTCGTCCAAGGCGTCTATAATGAAGAAAATGGAATCACCTTGTGCCGTCGATTTGTCGGCCAACAAAAGCAAGCTTTCCATCAGAACATCGATGTCCATTACGCTGTCGGAGATCTCATCCTCCCTTTTGTGATGGACTTTGGAGAATATTTCGAAGGATCGCGTACTCGGAGTTGTCTTTAGAAGTTGATATAAGAGTGAACTTAAAAGGCTCGCCACAGAGTGGCTTGCGCTGCCACCGGAAAAGAAATAGGATACCACAGCTTGGCTTGATCTGCGCTCCGGGAGATAGGCTTGCTTGATATGTTTCATCAGGGTGCTTTTACCAGATCCCGGTTTGCCAATGATCCATAGTGGCCGAGAAGGGTTGGCAAACCAAGACTTAAAAGTGTTGTCGTTCAGTATCCATTCGTACGTTCCTGGAGAGGCGTCTCGGATATTGGCGGATGTATCTTCAGTTTCCAGGCTTTCAAGAACTTCTAGATACTGTCAACGGAGCTATGCAACAGCAAGGAGAGGGGTTTTACCATGCTCAACGGATGACAACGTTGTCTGTACTTCAATTCCATCCGCGACAGGGCTGCTGAGCTCAGAAGTTATGTTTCTCAATGATTGCAAGACTTTAATGTAGGAGACATCGTCCTGGCTCCTAAAACGACACAGGTCCTGTCAATTCATCAGATAGAGGTAAACAAAGACAAACAGATTCACACTGCATACAAGATGATCACTATACAGCGATAATTGGGGCCAAGCCCACGATTCTTCCTGGCTTGGGTTGACCGCCTAATCGCCAAAGATTTAGCCGATTGTGTTTGTTTCCAACAGTCAATACCAAGTACTAACTCACCCTGAAAGCAGTGCCTGGTAGCGGCAACTCTTCGTAGCAATGAACGACTTTCCACGGCGGACTATACTGAGATAAGCTCGCGAACCTAACAAGTACCTGTGCCATGAATTGAGTGTCAACCATAATGGACCTATTTATCTCACTAGCTGCAGCGATTCTTGAGACGCTTATATCGAGATCTGAAGTCGAATGCGGCGTCCCCAAGAAGATTATTCCTTGTGTTGCCGTGACGATCTCGTTGAGTGCTGTATCGCCTTTGCTCTCAAAGGCTTCACTAAGGGCGCATTGAAGAATTAGACCACCAACACTATGGCAAATAAAGACTAATGGCCGAGATATCTGACAGCAGAAAGTTAGTCCATTGACAAACCTTTTCGATTTGGGATACTGTGGAACTGGAAGAGAAGGGAATAGATCTGCTATATAATGCGATGTGAGACGCACCTCGGTATTATCAGCCTGTAGATTCTTTAGCTTGTTGAGAAGTTTATTCGCAGCTTTAGTGATGCCCTGACCGTCGCGAAAGGCAGTAGAGAGATATCGGTAGGTGAAGATCCTCGCTGAAGGGAGATCCTTGGGTAAGAAGTCCCGTGCCCAGAAAACAGTTTTACTGTTGTCAGTGACTCCGTGTGTCTGATATTCCCAGGTATCGTAGCCCTGGAATCCGTGTATAGTTATGATGTCTAGCGCTCGGTCAGTCCACGAGGTTCCTTGGGCTATAAGTTGCAACCCGGTGAGGTCGTCCATTTTGAGTAGTTGCATGAGAAAGCTGAAAAATGTAGACATACAGAACCGAGTAAAACAGCAAAAACGATGGAGATAAACATTTCCTCCCTAATGAACCGGGCGTTGCCGCCTTCGGGGAATTATAGAGCTTTTAGGCCACCATACCAGCTGCGCGACATGATAATCGCCTTGTGTGCGTTTCCGACCCGCTCACAGCGCATTGTCTGATTTTTCTGAAGCACCACATTTTTCACTTTGCCAATTGCATTTCTCAAATTCTGAGCGATGCATGCCATGGTAATGGAAAAGTTTTTCCATTCTTCGAAATCGCAACCATGAATTTCGCACTCAGTGCGGTTTCAGCCACTCAAAACGCTGAGTGATCCCAGTCAATGCTATGTGGCTGCATATGTGTTTCACTTCGTGGAAGAGAATTACAGGGGAAGCCGGTTAGCGTCGTTGTCTCGTTGCAGCAATTGGTTGGATGTCTGTCTCTATATCCACTATCGCAGGCTTCTTATCTGTGTAACCAATGACAAGGCAGGAATGAGCAGACGCAACGCGTCACAATAGCAATGATAATACTCGCATCATTGCGTTTTTGATATTGGCTTTTCTTCCAGTGCGCCAGCCACGCTAAATGACGTGGAATTGGCGGTGTAATCAGGACCTGTGTCCGGAGAATTGGATTGCCTCTTGAACTTCGCGTAGCTTACCGACACTGCTATCACTGAAATGAGGTTCGAGAAAGATAATTTTTCTTCGCGAATCCTTCCTATGATGCCGCCTCACTTGGCCTTTTGGATGGTCACCTCTACTTACTTTAGAACGCAGTACGGCGTTAACCGTACCAGCCCAGCTGGGCTTACGATATATTTTCAGGGCAAAAACTAGGTTGCAGTACGTTCCTCAAAAGACGCAAGTGTCTTTGGCCGATTCTAGACTTGGAGATCCGTTGCGCGGGCGAGCGGGCAAGATACATGTCACTTATGATAGCAGTCGATCATAAATTCAAGCATCGCAGTGAATAGCAAAGTCTTGAACTACAACTGAGTCTTCGGCTTCATCTCACTTAGGGTCATTAGTCCCGCTGGCTCCTCCACCGTCCACCTTAAATACATCAAATCAAACTTCCATCATGAGATGCCACTATCCCTACACAACGAACTATTGCAGCTATACTTCAAGAATTTGTACCATTCTGATCTTCTCTTTCATTAATCCACGTGCAGGGAAACGCTTATGGAACAAAAAGTCGAATCCTATGTCCTTCTTAGAACCTGTACCTGGGGCGCAAAATAAGCATATTAAATAAACCCTTTTCCGCCTACTGAGGCAGCTTTTATAATCATGAATATGTCAAATCAAGCCTGAAACAACAAGGTCTCATAATTAAATAGGGCAAGACTAATAGTGTACTTGTGTTCCAAGGAGCGGAAGAGCTTATATGAGTGTCGGCCCTATACTATTTATTGGGTTAATTGCCGTCAACCGTTCGTGTACCAAGATATATCTCGACCGCCCAAACTGAAATAAATCACCCTTAATTGATCAACGATCGCTGTGTTGTCTATACTCTATCAGCCAGGGAACTACAATTGAATCTCCGAGGCAGGTGTTTATTCCACAACATCTCTTTCTTAATCAGGATCCTAGCGCCAACCAACATAAGACGATGGCGCCTCCATCTGTCTCGCTTTTTATCGTGCTATGTTAGTTTGCGACTTTAATGTCAATTTAGATCACCAACACTGTATCACAGGAATCTTCGTTCGTCGCGCCTGTTCATTGAAGTCACTCGGAGATGCAGCTTACCTCGACATATTTATCCTCATCCTTACGAATGCGAAGAACCACTGGATTCATACTCACTTAGGACTGGTAATTCAACATAGAGACCCTTCTGATGTCCCTAGAAGAGGGCATAGAATCACTATGGGGGAACGTATATGTTTATGGGAATCCTTATGGCAACCGTCGCGGCACTGCATTCGAAAGTGTTTAGATATTCAACCTCGATAAAGATGACTTGCTCCTGAACTAGAACGATAAAACTTTCTCAATACATCTTGAGCTTGTTCGCGAATGACAGCTAATACTCGATGATTTTGAGTCTGTGAGTGCACCCGAGGCACCACATAATTAATACTTGCCGTGGCCATATTGGGAACATAAACTTGATCTTTTTCTGAGACAAAGTAAATTTCTTGGATAAATACTCTGCGGCGTTACTTACACATGATTTCACATTATTAAACATCAGATGGACCCTAATATGTTCACGGAAATGGTAGATGCCATTACGTGGATCTCTGACATGGAATTCATGCTATACAAACGTACAGGTTTTGAACATATTTTCCCTGGCGGGCCGGATCTACCATGATAAAATACCCGGAGAAAACTTTTTACGACTGCATCGCGATCATCTTGGTTTGTTCTATCACAGGACCTTTCAGAGGGTCTTGGGATTGTAAGCGAACATATAAGGTATTAGCCAGATGTGCTATTTATGCCCAGCCGAGAGACCTTGGTGTTATTTGCATTTCAGACTTATGGCTGAGAGCTTAAATTAGCAGATGGAATTTAGTATGAGAACATGCGAACGGCCAGTTAAGATTAAAGGAGATAACCTTTTTTGTTTCAAAGTTTACATATCAGCCTCGAAAGGTATCCAGGCATTTCCAAAGTCTACTATACTTTAAATATTCATTACCTCACAGGCTGTAAAGCTTCATTGAGTCAATATAATTAAAAGGAGATAATAAATACAATCTTGACGCTTCGGAAAGCAGTCCTTTGTAATTGACGAAGCCCGAAAAGCTGTTCCATGGCACGTCTGCGTGCGGCGCCACTCTCAACATGCTTATATGGGCGGCTAAATTCTTAAGACAAAGTCCTTAGAAAAAGAAAGCAGCAATTCAATGTCTCCCAATTGAGATACAAAACTCAATTTTCCATTTTGCAACTACTAGTTTCGTCGTTCCATCTAGCTTAATCCAAGTTGGGCTGCGAGCTGGTGTTCAGTCCCTGCTCCCTGGGGCTGACAGAGGGCATGAAAATGCGAGCTGGCGTATTAACGGGAGAAGGGGTATGTTAATCACAGTCTTATGATCCTATAAGTCCTACTCTGCAGTAGTGGAGACACTATGCTATGTGTATAACAGGGGGCTGGGAGAAGGCTTCTGAAGAGCCATGAAAGCGGCAACCTGTGTCAGGTCACGGGTCGCTTGAGTTTGGTCTGCAAATACCAAGACATAATGGCAATGTAGAGTACATATCTTCGTTAAACAAAGCAAACAACAATAACAATCACCTCAGATCGACAGTTTATATCTTCCATAGTACCCGTTCCCTCCAAGTTGACCTTATCCATCATTGACATTCTTCTTCAATCTTTCTCAGCTCATACAACCAATATTCTGTCATGTACCTTCCATATGGGTTCCCTATTTCTTCAGGACGTGGCTCAGGTGGTTCAGGTCCTACCTTATCCCATACTACCCCAATCTCCTCAGCTGCAAGTTTCTCATCCTCTGGTAAATCGCTACTTTCGAGGCGATCTAGAACCTCGCTCATGCGACCAACCCATGCCCGTTCCCAAAATTCAATAAGTTCATCAGTTCCGGTATCTGGATTTTCAAGAAGAGAAGTCATGGTTTCTTCGAACTCAATGATCAGATCTTCAAGTAGTGCCAGCTGGTATCCTTGATCATCTCCAAGCCCGTTCTCATTACTATCAACATCATCCTCAGACACACAATCCCAATATCTGGTTCGACAACAACAATGACTGATTTCCAAGGCGGCGAAAGTGAGGAACCGAATGGCGGCGTAGTGATGCCACCCCCGAAAATGGCAGGAAAAGTGACTGAGATACATGATAAATCCGTCAATCAGCTTCAATAAGGGTACAGTATAAGTCAATTCCCGGAGTTCTGGGTCCTCTGTACTTGTCGTAGCGTCGTCTTGTGAATAGCTTTGTGGTTTGTATTTATAGTCTCGTTCATTGACCAGCTGACGTAGAATGAACGTCAGCATATTGCAGCCGCCCGGAGAACATTGGCAACTACATGAATCCACAGCTCTAGCCTCAAATACCGCAGAGTGGACTTCGTGGTACCAATCCTCCTCCGGATCCATTGTAGGTGGTGCCAGTAGTGACTTATCACTATTTGATTGGTCATACTGGCCATATCTGGAGCGGCTCCTTGTCCAAGAATTTGTAATTTCATAGCCAATTGCCGAAAATATGCAAGCACTTCCAAAGATATCATTAACTGTTGGAAAGGGGAGTCGACAGTAGACTCCATCATGGTTGGCTAACCAGCGCAGATATGGCAGAGGTTGCGGCGAAATATCCCACCATTCCACATCATCAGCGTCACACCACGACGCGGTGTCTCGGAATCCAGCACGGAAAAGAAGATCGGCATCGTCGTATGAATCGACTAGCTGGTAGATTGGCCGAAACGATTCATTATGCCCGACAGCAAGGGCTTCAGGGACACAGATACCCGTCTGCTGTAAGCGCTGCGTAACTTCGAATGCATCAGAATCGAGAACATGTTTCGATTCAAGACACAGTTGCTCTATATCTGTCTTGGGTAGATTTTCTAGAGCAAGCCGTTTCAATCTATCCCTACGGTCTTTCATGTAGCGCAGATATCTCAGCTTGCACCGTTTGGAAGCATATTCCAGTGCACGTTCCAAGGTTGAGGTTGGGATCATGCGGTCAGCTTTCATCAGAATAACAGTGCATTCGGCGCACTTGCATCTTTTGCACATGCGCGTACTATCTTCTCTGCAGTTCGTACCACTGATAGAAACTGCGAGTTCCAATGCGGAGTATCCTTGAATATCGGTCCAGTTGAGTAGCGCTATGTCTGCGGCATCTACTAGAACCCGAAGAATTGATGACTTGCCTACGGCGAGGTGGAGTGGAGAATGCCCAAACAGGTTTCTTTCGGAAAGGGTGCTGGGATGATTTGCTATTAAGAGTTTGACTTCTTCCAGATTATTAGATAAAATTGCCAGGCTTAGGATACCACAGCCATAAGCTATCTCCACGGAAACTCTTGGTTAGCACAACATGATTTAACCGACTTTAGAGGAAAGATATACAAACCATCGGCTATCCTAGTTGAAGAAGATAAAAAGTGGAGTAGAACCTCGCCACTAGATTGCCAAATCACCTTCCTTGATGCTGTAACAGTTTTCGTACTAAAGGGAAAAGGTGGATCTCTTCGATTTAATGCAGCGCTATCGGTGTTTGATCGCAGTATGAGATCTACGGCGGCGGCGGGCACAGGATAGGTCGCACTACCATATGACCCAAACTCAAACATGGCGCTGACCGGCGTACTAAAGGACAATTTAGTCGACTTACAACCTTCCGATCTGAAATTCCGATGATGAACCTACTAGCCGTCTTTGTTGTAGTCATTTGCCGGGGCCTTGTTATTGACCAAGTATTCGAGTAAGTCAAGCAACGGACTGGCCTGGCAAGTGTCAACCAGGCTTGGTAGGTAACTCGTGCTACTGTAATAATTTCGTATCTAACGGTGTGGTTAGGTTCTACTGCGCTGGCTGTGGAGTAAATAGGGGCATACACATAGGGCCACGCTGTAGACTAAAGACTCGTTGCCGCCGTTGACTGCTCGAGGGGATGCCTTTTTAGCTTGCAAAAGACTGAGCACTGCGGATACCACGGAAGGGACAAGCTTTTCCCACAACGCTGGGATTTCGGAGAAGCCATTGACTGTTAAGTATTTATTGTGTTGAAAAGATTTCACAAGTAGATTGAGCATTTTAAAGGCAGGTGCGTGGTTTGAGTCAACGATAGGATAGTAGGTGAAATTGGGGCCGAGGCTTGACCCTCCTGCCCCTGACCGAATCGTGAGCGAGAACTGGACAGCCGAGTTGAGCAAACGTCGGAGTCCAGTGTAGGTGAAGGCAAGCTTCTGAGTTTGGTCAGGGTCTAATATGTCTCGAGTGACTGGACACCCAGGTAAATGCAGTTCGGTGGTTGTCTCGTGAGAAAGGGCAAAAGAGCCCAAGGCAGCATTCCAACGTTTGACATGTCTGCGGTGACGACATAAGCATGAGAAGCGACCTCCAGAATAACTGGACATGCCTGTGCTGACTCTTGCCGCCGTTTCATGTGGTACTGGGGGTTTCCTCTTTGGCCTGTGCTGCTCTTGAGTCACAACAGCATCACACATCTCTCGTAATACTGCTGGCTTTCCGAGAAGCCGTCCAGTGACCAGTGCAGGGGTGATCTGTAACTTATGTCAGGATTCGCTACATGATAGCCTCAGTGAACTTTGATGCTTACGTCTTGCAGCCTTTCATTGGTGTTCGACCCTTGGACTAGCAGCTGTTCGAGTAGATGCTGAAGACCATCAAAACGTGTCTCAAATTGTGACAGAGTGCTTTGCATGCCTCGAATTGGAGAGCTGATAGATGAGACCTCGGACTGAACCACTAGAAGATCACTAGAAATAGTCTGCGACGTCACTTGGAGTGTAGCTAACTTCTCGGACCCTAAGTGTGATACAGAACTGGCAACGGCTCAGAAAAGGTAGGCTCGTAGGGATTTGATTATTAATTTTACTTACAGTCCTAGGCTTTGCAATCCTAACTGAAGAGTCGCATTGATGTGATGCAATTTCGTCGCCATTTGCTCGAGCTTTGGGCGATGGAATGGATAGAACAGCTTCTTGCCCTTGTTCCGAGCTTTGATTCTTCGACCGGTTGTGCCTTGATCGTCCGTAATGAGCGTGGCTACCATGCCCTCCAAGACGTTTAGTTCATCGTTAGATGAGTCTAAAAATTGTCGCAATGCCTCGGTTGCTGATCTGTGGTCATTCTGAAACCGGGAGATTGATGATTCGATGACTTGAAGTGTTTTCTTCAGCGTCTCGTTCTGCTGTATTATGGAGGCGATATCCTGGTCGCGGGATTTCAATGAATCGAAGTAATCAGTGATACCCCCAGTGACTTGGAGGCCTAGTGATACCACGGCCAAGGCTAACCCTGCGACGGAGAGAGGGTCGGCCATGGCGAAATAAGGTGATTGTATTTCACAAAGGGTACCTACCAGACAGTGACGATAATGGATTGAGATTGATGATGATGAGCCAATGTCAAGGACTGTTCTAGGACTTTGCTGACTGCATATTGCTGCCTGATCAGGCTCTCGTAACGTGCAGCAGGCTACGTACCTTTTATTGCATGTTAATAAGCAGTTTACACAAATACGTGAATCTGTACGACAGGGTACCCAACCGGGTCATAAAAATAGAAAGTATAAGTACGCCCAAATTGAACTCAATTCTTTAAGTCCCTATCAATCATTCCAGAGGCGTATAACAAATGTATAAAACCTGGTGGTCTCCCCGACTTTAGTTAACATTGAATGTAGGCAGTCAAACCGCCATAGGGTAAACAGCCACATTAGGCGTGGCTGGTGCATCAGCCTCAACCGAATCAATATCCCTGCAAGCTGAAATGCACCTCCATACAGACCGGGCGATCAGGCTGCGCATTCTTGCAGGTCACCCAATAATAAACAACGCTTAGTAAGATGCCCAAGCGCTTATTTTACTGACCGAAAATTAAATCCCTCATTTGCAAGGTTCCAGTTCCATTTCCTACGGCAAAAAACTCCGGATACACGATCTCCCCCAACCTAATCGACCGAATCCACTATTCAGCTTACTAGATCCTACCTTAAATCCTTTAGTTTAATTTGTTGCATCGCTGAAATGCCGTTGCAAAGCAAGAGAACAGTCAAGGTCCATGAGATCCCCGCCGGCACTACGAAGCAACAATATCTTGACTTCGTTGAGCATCTTTGCAACAAGCCAAAGAAGACCTCTAAGTTTCACTTCGGTCGGGTTGCTAAGTACCTTAAGGGAAAGTCCAAGTTACCAGTAGATGCATCAACCTCGGCATCAACAGAAGAGGTAGACGAAGACGCAAAGTCGAAGGACGAAGCTGAGTTGGCTCCGCCACCTTCGACCGCCAAAGGCGAAGGGGAGCAAGCTGCACCACTTCTTGACGATGCTCAGCCGACTGCAGAGGGATGGATGGGGACCACGTACTGCTGCCAGAATGGCCACTTAGTCGGCACGGTCTCTTTTCAGAATGAGATACTGAAAAAAGAAGCCCTGGTACGACATGGAAAAGATAAAAAGTGCTCTTGGAGAGGCTGGACCGTTGAGGATAACTTCAAAAGTATCACAACATTATATGAAGCGGCTGATGCGAAAATCGAGTAAGTATTCCCCTGAAAACAGGGCTGTTGACATACTAATAATTTCTCGAGTATCTGCGCAGTCCATGGCCTTGGTGGGAATGCTATCGACACTTGGACCACTAAAAGTGATAAAATGTGGCTCAGAGACTTTCTCCCACAACACCAAAACTTCAAGAACAGCCGCGTTATGACCTTCGGTTATGATTCGGACCTCACTGATAGACGCACAGTTATGACACTGGAGAGTTGGGCGGAGACTCTTCTACAGTCACTGAACGAGGTGCGAACTGGCGAAAAGGTAAATCTAATACGATTTTGCTAAGCTCGTCTCTGATCATTAGAAATTAGGAGAAAGAACGACCGTTACTATTTGTATCTCACTCATTAGGAGGACTGGTCGTGAGAAAGGTATCCTCCCTCTGGATAACGGAGCAAGTGTTCAGCTACTTACCATATGTATCTTCTAGGCTATGGCACGGTTGCATCTTAACCCCAGCTGTCAGAACATCAAACTCTCCCAATGTGGTATTTTGTTTCTGGCAACTCCACACAGCGGATCTACCAAGGCCGATTGGAGCAACTTTATCGTAGCAGTCACCCACACACTCGGAGGCGTTAGACCAGAGACCGTCAAGACGCTAGAGTCGTTCAACACGGCCTCTGTTTGGGACACTGCAGAATTTCTGAATCTGGACCCATGTCCCCCCTTCCGATGCTTTGCAGAGGGTCTCAAGATGCGAGTCAAAGGAACAAACCAACATGTATGTCTGGATAAACTCTGCGGTGCGATTCCTTGCTCTGACATTCTGAGAAGATTGTGACACAATCATCAGCCACTCTTGGTAGCCACCAGGCACATATGATCATGGATGTTGACCATAGCTCAATCTGCAAGTTTGAGTCAAGACTGGGAACTTTCACGACGATCAGCATGGCAATGTGGGAATTGCTCAATGAGGTGACCACTGTTGGCGTCCAGCAGCCGAATGCTCGACCACAGCGCCGTGTACCGGCCCACGATAATTTAGATCAGTAGATAAGTCCTAATATAATCGGTAGGTGTTTGGCCAGCCGCGCTTTCTTGCCCATAGATATCCTCCCGATCGAGGCTTCTGGTGGGAGGGCACCGAACTGAATGGGGTTCAGCATCAGGTCACATCGACTAAGCCTTTCTTCGGGCGATCCACGGAGTTGAGTACTCTTGAATCGTCATTAGCTGGAGATGAAACGCGCCCGAGTCTCACCATAATAAAGGGAATTGGAGGAATAGGGTACAAATCCTTCCATTCTGGATTCTGTTATACAAAGGGCTGACGTCTGTGTAGTAAAACTGAGCTTCTACTCAAATTCGCAGCTACGCAAAGAGGCCGCAGGAATGTCTTTTTCATAGGGTCCCAAAATGGAGAGACAATTGATGATGTTCTCTCTAGCCTGTCAACAAGGATTGGCTTCGAAATGATCGAGGACCCTGGTGAGAATCAAGACCGGTGGAGGAACACCCCCGTCGTCGAGCGAGTTCAGATCTTCCTGACGTGGCTGGGAGATACGTGCAACAAAGATTCACTTTTCATCATCGATGATATTGAATCCTTTGGATACTCCAAAATCCCAGTCATCTTGAAGTACCCGGCACAACACGCCTTGATTTCCACTCGAGACTCCAACTTGAAACGAGCGGATCGAGTCTTTCAAGAGCTCCGACTGTCTCCACTGGGTCACGATGATACAGTAAGAATCTTACAGAACACACTCCGAAGTCTCTCTGCGGACCCGGTATTTTGGGATGGTCTTGGTTCTATCGCTCGTGTAGTTCAAGGTCATCCACTTGCAGCTCGAAATGCTATCCCATTTGCAATGGACTATCTGGCGACCTACGAAAATCCCGGTGCCGCATTCTTGCAGCTATTTGAGAGTCAGGATCCTGAAGAGCGCAGAGTATTTTTCGAGTTCAACTTTGAAGGCAGATCATTGTGGGAAGTCTTTCATACCTCTCTGGAGCGTTTGGAGCTACAGCAGAACCCCCAAAACGCGACCGGCCTTCTTCAGATACTCCCATTCTTGTCCTGTCACAATGATCGTGTAGATGAGTTTTTAAAGATGAAGAAGAGTCTGCCAGCTGAAACTGAGAAAGAACTACCAGATATGGCGGTGCTCAAGTCTGGTTACACTGTCATGTCGAACTGGCTATCCAAATTGCGCGGTGTCTCGTTCTATCTCCAGAGTGGCTCGCCTAATCACACCAAAATCCTGGACATACACCCTCTCATGCTGCAGTACATGTTGCTACGTTTAGATGAGCGCAAAAGAGTGGATCTCATCAGACAGGTCTTGCAACTGTGCCACGCTTTAGTGGACATACAGAATGAGCGAGAGGCACAGATCAAGCCGCATGTTCTCCGTTGCGTTCAAGTCTGTCGAGGACTGGGAACTTTGCTAAATAGTGTAGGGCTGCCTGAAAACACAATAAGGTGGGTGGAAGGTTTACACGAGATACAAGTTGAGGAGGTAGAGGATCCATTCAGTGACCCGATGGACTTGTCGTCCGCAGCAGTAGATAAGTTCGTCAAAATCTGTATGGAGATGAAGGAGAGCCTTCGGCAAGACGGAACCTGCTTGATTGAGGAAAGTACGATGACACAGATGCTGATGAATTGTGTCAGATCTTGGAGGGCGCTGAAATGCTCAATGGAAGAGCAGGGAGAAGTAGCTGACTATCTCAAGCCTACACTTTTGGAGGCGATGGACGTACTTCAAGAGATGGTTAGACTGCGCAACATGTATCCGGATATCATTTCAGAACTCAGGACGTTTCGAGCTAATCTGGCTGAAGGTTGAGAAGACTCATAGTGAAGGAGTATATGGAAATTGTCTCATTATTGACTAGATTTGTCTCCCAATTCTGACGCGTTGGTTGTAACCTCTGATCGAACTTCGCGACGTATCGGGTATACGAATATGTCCGAGCTGACATTTGAATCTGCAAGACAAGGGGATGTGATTGGCAGGGACGATATGAACGAGCATGTGACCTAAATGCAGGAGGCGCTGAAGCTGAATGCAGCCTTCAGCTTCTGCCACGTAAGCTTATTTCTCTCGACTTGAAATCATTTCTCAGGGTGATTGCGGATGTTATGCTGAAAGAATTATAACTGAGCTTTCCTCTACTCTTTACGACCTTTTGCTCATATATCTGACCTTACGTTCGCCGTAGTTGGCTTCTTACCATTATTCCACAACATCGTGACTCACAGGCTCACACGACATGGACCCCACCGAAGTCAGTCGTCTCCGATTCTGTCGTTTTATTCGATCTTTCCAATGCGAAACTGTTCCTTGCGACCTTTTTGTTCGCGCATGCGGACCCAAGTCGACTTGGTCATCAAGTGGAGAGGTAGTTCAGAGGCTACCATCAGAGGCCGGGGTTCCAGAATGGCTTATCGATTTCTACAACACCAACAAACATCTTTTCCATGATGCCGACCATGGGGCACATATCGAAGGCCTGGAGATCATGATTGAGAACGGTGTTCCATACTTCGAGGTGGCGACAGCAAGCGAGCCCGAAACTGAGTTCTGTCAGCTTTCATCAATCGCAGATGAACGCTCCATGGCCCAAGCGCGCATCGATGTTTTCCTACAAGCCTTCCCTTCCATTAACATTGAGATCATTGGAGAAGAAATTGTTGAGAGGTTGATGGATGTCGCCAAGGGATCTATCCTGCCCTTGCTCTCATGCGTCACCGACGCAGATATAAAAGACTGGCTGTTTACGAAGAACCACTGCGAGTATGTCGACCCTGCTTTTAGTTGATAAATTTCATGAACTAATCATAATATCTCAGTTTGGAATCGTACACTTTCTCCTTCTTTGAGTTCCTGTATCAGGTTATTGGTATCTTGGGAGTTGAGCACCCTCTCCTCCCGTTATCATTACCAGAGCGAATATTGAATACCGTCCCTCACGACCCGGAAAATGACAGGATCGTCAACCTTTGCAAGGTTGCAGATATGGTGAAGCATTTCAAAGATAATGGCCCAGTTTTACTGGACTACAAACCATTGTCCCCTGGAACGAAAACTGACCAAAGAAGTCACGCCACACTTGGATATTTTTTATCACTGCAAAATATTTATTTCGCTGAAGCCCTAAAGACTTGGCAACCTCTACTCTCCAAAAGTCCATCTCAGATGGAGTACTTGGCAGCGATCAGCTTCTGCGACCAGTCGCGCCTAGCTTTGTCTGCTGAGAGGCCAGCGTTTCTTACATTGGATACCAGGGTTCTGGAAGGCCTCTTGCGTTCACGACGAAAGCAACATGACCAAGCAGCGAAGGCTTTGGAGGTGACTAGGGTCGAAGTCGTCTCCCAGTATGGACTATGTTCCATGCAGGTCGGAATAGTCACGGCTGAGCTCGCTAATTGCTATAATATCCTCCGTCGAGAGGAACTGGCAGAGTTGGCTTTGAGCAGATGCCTCGAACTACGACTGGATGCAGATCTCTCCAATCGATGCGATGGGATATATATCCGGCTGGCGCTGGCTGATTCTCTTATAGGCCAGGCTAAATACCACGAGGCCGTGCCAGTACTCGAGAGCGTCATGGGTAACCCCAATATTTCAGCAACCTTTCGAATGATGAGCGTACTTCGTCTAACAAAGTCACGACGTAGGATGCATGACGATGCACAGAAGGCTTTTGAACAAAACAGTCCCTTGTGGACAGGCTTCGCACTACTTAGCAACGTCTCAGAAATTCTTGTGATGGAATATGTCGAAGAACTGGGATGCAGCATTTCAGAGTTACCTAGACGACAGCTGGGACCCTCAAAAAATGCAAAAAGGCTCATGGAAGCTGTTAACTCCGCACTGTATCGACTGAGTTCTCTTACGGAAAGCCCATGCTGGAAATGGTACAGGAATGTCCAAAAAGAGTATTTAGCACAGGTTGAACAGGACACAAAGGTCACGAAAGGTAAAGGAAAGGACGAGGGTCTGCAGAGCGAATATGAGAATGAATTGAGGACTCCTCTTCCCAGACCTTTCCCAACCTTCCTCCTTCGCCAGATGACGAAACGTCCAATGACGAGGGGCCTTGGTCAGAGAGATTAGTCTTGTCATTTGGTATAATCCTCGCCATTCTACCAAGCTTCGTACTGTGCTAATCGTCCTTTTCAGTTGGTACAGGTTCTCGTGCTATCTCTGGTCTTTTCATTTTGAAGCACATTATGCACAAAATCAGGGAGCTTGAGTTCTGTCACGAGGATGGTATAGCTTACTCAAGTAGCTCAAGTTCATACACCAGACATGAATATGGTATGCCGAGGATACTAGAAGATTCAGCCCGGGTTGATAAATTTCTCCCTTGTCACTACTTCGACTACATGGCTGGGACATCGACTGCTAGGTACGTAAAATGCCACCCAAGTTATGATACACACTGAAAACAGCCACAGTCTCAACAGCATCATGTTAGGAAGACTGCGCATGTCGGTAGATCAAGCTATTGATAATTTTATCGATTTCAGTAATGATGTTCTTGGGCAACCCCTATCGTTCAATACAATATTACCCGTAAGACAATTTTCATCGACCAAGGCCCTCGAGGCTTTCCAGAAGATCCTCATGAAAAGCAATTTATTTGCAAATGAGGACGTTTCAGAGCTCAGACACGCTGCCAAAAATGAGACATTCAGAGAGAACGGAGGACGCCGCACTCGAACGTGAGTTGAAGATTGAATTTCTGCTACCGCATCAACAAATAACATTTCAAAGTATGACCGTTTCTTATAATATGTCGACCGGAAGGGAGCACATCTGGACAAGTTACGATGCCCCCCATAGAAAGATATCTGGAGGCTACTCAGCTACAATTCGGGAAGTTGCGTTGGCCACCTCTGCCACTCCTCTTTATTTCAGGCCAATCAAGATTGACGTTAACACGCACTGGGACGGAAGATTGGCGAAGAATCATACTTCATACCTGGCCCTTGTAGAGATAGCCAGGGTTCACAGAAAGTATCCAGCTGTTTCTGTCGATCTTTCGTCGGGACCAGCTATGAAACCCGAGGCCAGGCGAAAGCTGGAGATCCTAGCCAAAACCTTAACTTGGACTCATTTCCCTCCGACGCCCCTGAAGCAGAGAGTCTCGGATATTGGCAAGTTTCTGCAATATTCTAGAACAGAGTCTTCCCCTGAGAGCGAGCCCAACCAATTCCGAGAGCTTGCTGAGAGTATGGGGCTTGAAAAGGCTTACACACTAAGCACTGAAGAAGTTTTGCCCAAACCCTATCCAACTAGCTTGAGACCAGCTAGTGAGGTGAAAGAATCTCTACAACAGATCAAATTCATCACTGAAAACTATCTACGCAAGGATGAGATAAGAGATGTCATCAACCGCATTGCAGGAGAGGCAGTCCGAATTCGACGCGCAAGAGCACATGCAAATGAAGAACAATGGGAGAACTTTGTCAAGTAAACTATATTTGGACCCTTTGGTTTTCTCTAGACATATCGGCTGTACTTAGAGTCACGGACTTGCCCAAGTTAGCATCATGCGAAGAGTGGCATGTCTGGGTTGGATGCTGTGGAGGCTCTTCATAAATGACAACGCTGGATATAGACGGGAAGAATTTATGACTACTGCAAGAGTGCAAAGGCCTACGGGCTTCTATGCCAGATTTATTGTCAGATTTGGAATAAGTCCTATTGCATCTTTTAGATATTGTCTGATGTGATTACATTATGCTGCCAGGACGCCATTTCCGGATATGGCTATGATGTCAAAAGTTTACTAAACCACAGGCAATTATTCAAATAAACTGCTTCAACTTGGCAATAAATGGTCTTGACTTTATATTCCACTAACTGTAAATTACTGGCATTATGCCAGTTTTCTTATGGCAGTTAAAATACGCTAAAGACTGATCCGCCTTCCGTAATACCATAAGCTCATGCCAAAGATTCAGATTTGCCTCTTCACCCTCCCTCTCCATCCGATTAAAATGATTAATCTGTGTACCAAAGATTTCCTTGTGCTTAGGCGTGAGAGACCATTTCTCAAGACGCTCAAGTGACTCCCACATACTAATGCTCCATGTCTTGCCAACTGGATTGCCATCGTCATCTTCAATGCGCATATATCTGTTGGAGAAGCAACCGAAGTGCTGGTTGTTTCTTGTAAGTTCCCCCATTCCGCTGTCAAGTGTTGGTTTTATCTCGGTGTTGTATGACTTGATCTCTGCTGGTGTACTGTTCTCCCAGACTTGGCCGGAGCGGATAAGACAGAGATTTTCATGGGGCTCTACGCAAACAAGTCTTCCACTAGGGCCCAACGAACAATCGTCATCTTTGAGAGATGGCCAGCCACCAGGTTCAAGAGTCTCCGTCTGTGACCTCGGAATACGGTCTCTTGCCGATCCCCAATACTCATGGGTATCAGTCTCGCCACTCATTGACTCTGCGATGACTGAGTAGCCCTCTGGATTCGGTAGAGCAAATGTAGTCTCCGTATCAGTAATCGGGACTGTATACATCTCTCTAAATACTCCGATGTCAGAAGTAGGACATAGCCCTCGGTACCACCAATCTGGAGACAGTGCAGCTTCCCAGTCTCGATAGGACGCGACATCTTTCCAGTAGAGAGTGAACACTATGTTGCGATAGCCAGAGGAGTCTGTGAAGCTCGATCGAACGTGGTGGTGAGGCCCTGATTTGGTGCTGATGGCTCGGCGGATTGTGTCGATCGCGTTTGCTGGGTCGGCAGACGGAAGATGTTGAACGCCGAGGTCGATTGTGACAATGGCTGTTGTTTCTTTGGGGAACCGTGCGGAATGGGAGGCTTGTTGAGGGCCTCTGAAGCAGCGGTGATGATGGAGAGGCTGCGTGCGATTGACTTTGAGATGGTTTGGAATGGCAGGCTCCAAGGAGGGCCTCTTCGGCGTGCTGTTCAATTATTAATACAGTTGCCAGCCCCAGAAACAAAATCTGACGTCGCATTAGAAACGTGTTGAAACGGTTGAACATACCTTGAAACAGTCATGTTTTAGTTTCTGACACTGGGCTAGTAGGCGAGGTGATTGTGTATGGAGTTGAGTCTGAAGAGATTAAAATCAGAATAAAAATAATATTGGAATAATTGAATGAAAATACAGGAATTCATTGAATTATCTATGTAGATAAAGCATATTATGTGATACTTTCGAGCTAGCCTTCGTTTGCAACAGACGTTGATGCCGGTTCGAAAGCCGAAAGATTTCTTCAAGAGGTTACAGCGTTTCGCTTGACGCTGTTGACGCTGGAAGCGAGGTGGGTCACCTGCACCTCAGGGGAAGGTCTAGACCAAAAGTCAATTTCCCCACCAGATTTTAGCGCTCAACGTTGACAGCGGTACTAACGATAGCGCCGCCGTTGACGCTGAAGACGCTGAGCATCGCGTTGCGTTGTGAAATAATTTTAGGTAAACACTTTACTCTTCAGTACGAATCAATAATCGAGCGTTTAGTAGGTATAAAGACTTAAACTTTGCGTAGATATATGCATTTCTCGTTAAATTACCAATAAACAGAGATCAGTAATCTTTCATCCAAGCCAATATGGATGCCAACCCTACACCAAACTCTCCTAACGACAAGCGAGACAAAGTCCGCGTTTATGTCGTCCAGCGCTGTCCCCGCCTCTTAGACCTCGAACATGGTGTCCAAACAGCAATTAAAGACATCGCAACAGCAGCAAAAGATGGAGCCAATCTCATTGCATTCCCTGAGACATGGCTGACAGGATACCCTGCTTGGGTGTTTGGGATGGCTAGCTGGAACGACCCTGAAGCGCGAAGTTGGTACAAGAGACTCATTGAAGCCAGTCCAACTGCTTCAAGCTCTCAAATCAATCGAATCAGAGACGCCGCGAGGGAGAATAACATCGAAGTCGTCCTTGGATTCAATGAACGAGCCCGAGAAACTGGTGGGACTATTTGCAATAGTGTTGCGATGATTGGACGAGATGGTTCTCTTCGTGGTGTCCATCGCAAACTGACTCCAACGCACGCCGAGAGAATTGTCTGGGCGAATGGGGATGCACAAGGTCTCAGGGCCTATGATACCAGCTTGGGAAGGATCGGTGCAGCAGTTTGCTGGGAACACTTCCATCCTCTCATCAGACAGGCTCTGCATACAGAAGATGAACAGATCCATATCGCTCTGTGGCCCGACATGCCTTCAGCGCATCAAATTGCTTCTCGGCAGTATGCGTTTGAAGGAAGATGCTTCGTTGTCGCCGCAGCTTCGTATCTGGACAAAGAGTCTGTTCCGCCAGAACTGCTGGAGGCATACATCAAAGGAGCTGGGTCGGCAGATCTCTTCACGGGCGGCTCGAGTGTGATTGGGCCGGATGGGGAGTACATTGCAGGGCCTGTATACGGTCCCGAGCCATTGATTGTGGATATCGATATTGGGCAGACTATCGCATATAAGCATGATCTTGATGTCGCAGGCCATTACGGCAGACCGGAAATCTTCAAGCTGTCGGTCAACAGAGAGGGTGACCGGAGATGATGTAAATAGATAGCCCTCAAAACAAAGCCAGGTTCCAACCACGATGTTTGGAGACATCTTGCCATGCGACTGCTCTGGGCCCATTGACAGTCCAGATCTCATCAAGAACATCAATACACGCATCAACATTCTTAAACTTTCGCCATTTATTCATCGCGACAAGTCGGTTCCGTATGACGCTGGCTTGCCTTGCATTTTCAGCTCTACTACCAGCAACGAAAAGCGGAAACAGTAAAGAGCATTCAGCAAATGCGCCTTGAGGGATTCTGTCCGAGAGATTTGAAATGGCCTCAATATGTGTCGCGATTCCTCCAGGTACTATTTCCGCCACAACTTGCTGATGGAAGCGTTTCCGTAAAACTGACTCGAGGTAGATAAATGCCGCGCTTCGGTATGTTTCACTGAGCAGGGCGAGAGGTTCGTCACTTGTGATATCGGCTTTGCACTTCCACTCCGCAAGGTCATTCGCAATCTCGTACGCCTTTTGCAGCATCTCTTCGTCAGACTCGATTGTGCCGAGAACACTTATCTCAGATAAATAGAAGATGATCCGCGGGGCATAGGCGCAATATGGGTCAGCTAATGCATCATCGTTTGACATCCAGTAATCGCCAGTTAGTAATGGCTTTCGATCAAGCGAGATACTCGTCAAACTATCGTGGTATGCAAAGAAGCGCAATAGCCATTTGGCTTCAAAGCTCAAGTTTCTCGAAGCGCGTACTGAGTCAAGGCATGCTGCTGCGCCAGCGACGTGACATGTCCAGCCAACGCTTGTTCCATCCGAAATGGTTTCAAGAGCGCACATGACCATTGCGATGGCGAGGCGCATTTCACTTGTCAGGGTATTGTCTTGGTCAAGAGAACTTCTGAAGGCATTCAAGACACGCCCACGGTGTTGGAGAGATATGTCGTTGAACTCTGGGTTGCACATCGCGAGATGTGCTGACGACAGTGCGGTTATGGCGTCTAAGAGTACTGGACAATCGAATGCCATTGGAAGTAGGACTGAGATGAAGCAGTTGTTCTCTGTGTTTGTCGACAGCATCTGTGCTAGAGTCGTCGTGTAGTATCGCAGCATACTTCGACGACCAGTGCTCAGATCCCCAGAGTGGCCATCATCTGGACGAACCATATCCACAGGCTCCCTGATACCAGTATGCGCATTAGGGTACCTAACCACAGCGCCCCCAGCAGACGGTGACTTTCTGACCCGCCGGGGTGCTTGGTACTCGCAGATGAGATTGAGTCGCGTACAGTCTCCACAAATAGGCACCCTCGTATCACACTTCTTCCTGCGCTGCCGACAAGTCAAGCAACCATGCTGCTGTCGCGTAAAAGGTTTCTTAGTGCGTTTTTTGGCGGGTGGTGCTGAGGGAGAGTCTAGACTGCTGGTAGATAATGGGGTTTCAGAGGGGCTTGCCATGAGTGCCAAGGTTACTGCAGGTAATCGAGTGGACGCTGGGGTGAATGTTGGGGTGAGAAATAAGGGGGAAGAGATGAAATGTTGGGTGCAACTTGAGTCGCTTTCTGGATACGCAATATCCGCTAACTCGGGACGGAGACGTCAAGTTGGTTCATGCAGGGTTTATAACTTACCCCGCACTTTTACGGTCAACTCAATCAGCCAGAGCCAGCTGCCAGTGGTCTGAGGAACAATTAGTCTTAGTGTTGACAGAATTAGCTCGCAGTCTCCATATGGAAATGGGCCGATGACGGTCTAGCATTTCTGTCTATCACTAGTCTAGCTTCGTTCTTAGTTGTCATACTCCCAACTTGGAGATAAGCTTTCAGACCACTCTTATCGCCCTTGACGCCCTTGACGCCGAAGCTTCTCCACAACCCCAGTGTTCCGGGTCACCTTATCTAGAGCTAGCAGGACGACAATATCGAGCGAAGCATCATTCTTATCATAGTACTGGGTTAGTATTTACATCAATCCAAGATGACTATAGCGCAGAAGATGCATATATAGATATTGCTCATCTCTACATTAATTGCACATCATCCTCTGAATATGCCATGAACACCCTACAACGAGACTAGTGCTGTCGACATTATCCCTTCAACCTCAGTCCCTCATATCTTCATCCTCTTCGTTCTTCCCTACTGGCCTCAAGTCTGTCTTCCCAGCCATGAAGGGCGGTTCTGACCACACAATGGCTCCGTCCGAGCAGTCAGCCATTGCCTCAGTCGTCTCATGTGAACCCTCACCAGATGGCAAACCTCAAGCTGAGCATGCAGACTACCAGCAAACTCACCTCCGAAAGCGCTTCACACTTGTATCAACAATCGCATTCGGTTTCACCACTATGATCTCCTGGGTAGCTTTTGCCTCAGGTCTCGCCGTTCCTCTCTCATGCGGTGTTGGACCAACTCTCATTTACGGTCTTCTCGTCGGGGGTATAGTCATGAGTATCCTCGCAGCAGGATATGCTGAACTCGCTTCGGCGTTTCCATCTGCTGGCGGTCAGTATCATATAGTGTACATGACGTTCCCAGCTTCAACCCGTCGATTCGCTGCGTTCTTTACAGGATGGATGTCAATTCTATACACTATGGGAGCTACAGCGTCATGCAGCTTCTTTGTTGCACAGTCTATCTTGAACCTGGTCACGTTATGGCACGAGACCTACGTCGCTCAGAACTGGCATGTATATCTCGTCTACATCTGTCTGTGTACCATTGCCTTTCTGGCTGCATCACGATTCCCAGCTGCTACCGGAAGTATCGGAGTATCAGTGTTCTGGCTGTCGATCATCGGCTTTATCGCGTCGCTTGCAACACTACTAGCTGTGCAAGAAGTCAAGCAGCCCGGCAAATTCGTATTTACGGAATTTAGGAACGTTTCTGGGTGGACCGATGGATGGGCTGCTATGATCGGTCTCGCGAGTTGCCTCTGGGCTTATTGCGGTATCGATGCTCCAAGTCATCTATCAGAAGAGGTCGACAACCCGAGCCAAAACATTCCCATCGCCATCGGCGCGACTATCATACTGGGTATTATCACCGTGATTGCTTGGAACGTCGGTCTTATGTATGTCATCAAAGACGTTCAAGGACTTATTGCTTCGGGTGCTCCGATCATGGAAGTGTACAATCAGGCTCTGGGCTCGAAGACTGCAACGACGATCTGGGCGATTTACTACCTCCTCGTTTTCTACCACATCATTCTCAACCTTTTCGTCTTTTCTTCACGCATTCTGTGGTCATTCGCACGAGACGGCGGTGTTCCTTGTTCTCACTATGTTTCTCGCCTCAGATGGTCCAACCCAGTCCGCGCAACGGCCATCATGCTCGTCCTCCAGATCATCATCGGTATCCTCTACATCGTTTCCAAAACAGCTTATAGTAGCTTCATCAACCTGACCCTATTTGCACTAAACATCACCGTGGTTTTGCCTCAATCTGTGTTATTATTTACCGGCCGCGACTCACTGCCAAAGCGGGCTTTCTCGTTGGGCAGATATGGATACGCTGTCAATGGCTGGCAACCATCTTCATGCTCTTCTTTAGTGTTGTGTTTGCATTTCCTGTTGCTAAGCCTGTTACTAGAAGTTCTATGAATTACCTTGTTGTCATATTTGCAGTTAGTCTGATCTTCATCGTTTCATCTTGGCTGTCGGGTCTTTCCAAACGGTTCACAGGGCCATCAGAGGCAACTGTACATATCTGAAGAGTGATACACCCACAATGATTGAAACATTCAAGACAATCTTATCCTATCATATGAGGACTAGGTATTACATCATGTACTATCAGCCGAGGATTCTGAATTCTGAACATTCCGTCATTCCTAAACCTCTTTCCCCTGTGGCTGACCTAAGTCTGCGATTCGCATGTTATAAGCTGACCTTGCGAAGACTCTTGATGGACACTGGTCCAAGTAATCCATGTTTTTGCCAATCTGAAGAAGTATACAAGATAGGTGCAGCAGGACCAATGCCATTCGCCTTGACATAATCAAGTCTAGCCTTGACCGCATTGAACAAAGTAGACGCCACCTCCACCCGAATCGTGTTAGTTCCCGTTACCAAATAATCCGAGACATCGACTTGAGCATCGTAAATATCGATCGCTGGGAGCTGCTTGTCGTTGACCCATGCTCGAATGGTGTTGAGTACGGGACCGAACTGAAGTTGAGCGATGGAGTCTTTGCTTGGGACTCGTGGTACATCGAAGGTAGCTGTGTATGTACCAACCCCTGATACATTCTGCGCTCCAGAGATCTCGGACCAGGGCTTGAGGGTTGTCTGAGTGCCAAGCTTCATCACTTTCTTCACAGATGCTGACTTTGCCTCGTCAGGACCAGGAACCCAGGACTCAAGTGTCAAGTTCCAGTTGCCAATGTCGATGTCGAGAGCATTCTTCCTGTCGCTATTACTGGCAGCAGGAATTTTCTTGGTCTGTCCATTGGACAATGTCAAGGAGGCTGCCTTATCATCTTCCAAGATGACGGAGATACCCTCTTTGCCATCAGAACCATAGGTAGTGTCGATGACATTCTCAGACTGCGAGACGATGCTCATCTTCGACTTCCCACTGGTAAATGTAACAATAGCCGTCTGGCCCGCTTTCAAAGATACCTGGAAGGCGACCCTGCCCGATGAGCGTTTGAACGATGCCATAGCAGCCTGTTTTCCAGTCCATGCGTCGAGCTTGTAAGGAACCTTGCCCTGCTCAACCTCTGCCGTGATCTCAAAAGTCGCCGATGAGCCCTTGTTAACGAGGAGCAGATATTCCGACCCCTTGTCTGATCTCCACACGGTGTACAAGTCCCTCGCAGCATCTGAGTCCGTCGTCACTCGGGGCTTGACGGACAGTTTCTCAAGTGCGTGGAGTAGGTCATCAGCGGATTTGACGAAAACAATGTTGGAGTACTTGGATGCCTTGAGCTTCGAGATGTTCTTGCTCACAGCATCTTGCCCCTTACTTCCAATGGTAGTGCTGGGCGGACTTCCAATGACGACAATTGGAAGGCCTGCATCGGCCAGCTCAACGAGCTTTTGCGATGCCTCAGCAGTGATGAACTTTTGCTGGTTGAGTATGAGCGCGCGATATCCTGCACCTTCAGAGTCCAAAATCCTGTTCGTAACCTTGAAGGCATTTGAGCCAAGGTTCGCTGGCGAGAGATACTCGTATGTGAAGCCTGAGACTCTATTAGCAAGAGTAATATTACCGTAGGACAGCTGGTACTTACCACTAGCACGAAGATCCGTGCCATTATACTCATCTGATATGCCAAAAGGATCCTTATATAGGTAAAAGGCCAAATCTTTCTTGGCCACTCCTTGTTGTAGAACAAACTGGTTCCTGGCAGTATAATTCATCATCTCGCCCATATACTTCCACGCTGGCTGCTTTGGGCTCCATAGCTCAGTGTAGATATACTGAAAAGGCGTGAATCCGGGCCATGTCGATCCAAGTTGTTCTCCAGTATACGTCATTCCGTGGATCATCATGGCATTAACGCCGCCTGCGAAAGCGTCGTTAAAGAGGTTGACGAGCGAGGGGATAGTCAGGCTGTATGCTCCTTGCGCAACTGCACCGATCTCTGTGGAGATAACATTGCGACGTCCGAGGTGTGCGGGGCCGACGAATTGTGACATTTGATCTGGCCTTTTGAAGGCTAGAGATTCGAGCTCCGGGGTGGAAACGATCGGCACGTCGGCGAGCTATCAACGCGTCAGAAACAGTTCATAGCACTAGCATTACAGCGAGAAGAACGTAGACCTACAATGTCCAAGGGAATATTATAACCAACTTGGCACGAGTGAGAGAGGCCCAGCGATTCAGCCCAATCTTCAAAGGTCTGTAGATACTCCTGATAACCCTCGTTCAGGGTCAGTCGGTAGTCCTGGAGGTACTTGTTCTGTCCGTCATCCAGAGTTCCATCGAGGTAAAAGGTAGTGTTGTAGGGAGCCTGAGCTGCTGTAAAGGAAGTCGACTTGTGGAATAGCAATGGAAGATACTTGATGACGTCGTAACCGCGCTTAGCCTTGAAGCGATCAGGGAAGTCAGGAGACCAGTAAAGCGAAGCTTGAATCTCCATACTGTCCTCCCAAGCTGCTCATATCTTAGCATTCCCAGAGTAAAAGCTTACGTGATTGAACTCACTGTGCTTGCCAACCTCCCTGAGCAACTGACGGATCTGAGTACTCAACAGGTTCTTCTCCCAGAACTGGGAAGCTAGCTTCGCCCCAGCTGCACTGAAATGGTCTGTGACCCAAGAGCCATTGGCAATGACATCGGTGGGCACGCCGTCGCAGGATCGCTGGTTGGTGTAGCGCTCGTAGTGCGCGAATACAATGTACTCTTTGTAATTCTTTGGTGCCGTCCATGTGAGTTTGCCGTTCTTGACATACTTCGTCAGGTCAACGAGTGACTTCTCATATAGGGCAACGAAGGCGTTGCTGTCGTCCGAGGTGTTTGCTTTAATGTGATCAGAATAATACAGGACGGTGCGATGAGTCATGAGTGATTGTAAGAGTTACACTGAGTAGAGGCGATGACTTACTTGATGCGACGGCAGCGGCAGAGACCCCAACAAGACGGCTCCCACCAAACTTCTCCTGTGGGTGAACATATCCCAAGTTCTCATTCCAGTTGATATCAGCAGCTGGTAAAGCCCCATCGAACTTTTCTCCTCCCTTGACAGACACTTTGCCGTAGACAAGCTGTACAGCAAGACCAGGAGTAAGCGGCTTCGATGGAACACCCTGACCCTGGCTAGCACCCAGCGCCACATCCATCGACAGCCCATTCGCCTTGGTCGCTTCAAGCGCAACCTTGAGAACGTCTCTAAACGCTGGCTTGCCGAAGGCGTATGTCTCCATCTTGGAGTCGTTGACATCGCCGAAGCCGTAGTTGTAGAACGGGAGAAACTCTAGACCGCCGGCGCCGAGCTTTTGGAGGTCTTGGATGTCGGCTTTGAGGACATCGTGGTCGACATCTGCATCTGGAAGCCTGTGGATATTAGTAAATCGGTGGTATTTCTTGGGGCTGGATTGGTTATTTACCAATATCTGAACTTGGGGCGATACTCGGCTGCTGGAGCAGTGAAGCCTGGGACCGCATTGGACGAGGGTGGGATACCTTGCCCAACGACTACGCCAATGGCAGCCGTGGAGGCAAGTAATTTGTGCCCGTATAGACGCATCTAGCTTGGGTGATCAGTAGCAGAGGTGGGTGAGAATGAATGTGACTGTACTTGCTAATGCGGATTTTAGCTGCAGCGGATAGCTATAGGCCTTTCTTTTATGTGCATTTCCAGTCTCGCACCTCGGGCGAGTTGTCAGCGAGATTGACATCCCCCAGGCTCTGTCCAAATTAGCCATCGCTGTTTATTACGGCGAAGTGAGCCCCCTCTGTGGATGATTCCCCGGCACTCACCAAGCGTTCTGGGCAAGCTTGGTCGTATTGAGATTAGCACTGCCGATTCAGGGGATTACCCCGTGGGGAAATAAGGTCACATGAATGATAGGCGTCGTGGTGGGTTAGGCTCGTTCCTGCACTCGGTTACACTGTACTGAATAGCTGATTGAGTATCTCGTTTGCCTTCTTGGTGTGGCTCTGTTTTGTTTACTGACGTCTACTCTTAAATATTTCTAGCATCACATGGCGCATCGCCTTTGATAGAGAAACTAATTGAGGTGCTATTTTTGTTATGTTATATCTGGTTTACCAAAAAGCAGACGTTGGGTGTAAGTATGACCTCGCTTACCGCATTGTTTACCTCGTTTATATCTCGTTCCACTCACCCCGGTCTTTCTCCGTCTCGGCGTTCGTTACCCCGTCTATTTACTCACTGTATACGGCGAATACATGACAAAGACAACTCTTTTCGATTGAGTCGCAGACTAGTACTCAAAACGACATCACACCAAGAGATTCTGAAACTTCGCTTATAGACACCATAAACCAGGAAATTGTAATTCTCCTTATTCTCTAAATCGGGTTTTCTTCTTTTTCTTTACATACCTAAAGTCTGATTTAGAGTTTTTGTCATTTCAGAAACGGCCCTTTTCTGGCTTTTTTGATGTTGACTCGCTGGCTCGCTCATGCTGCAGGCTGGGCTTGCGGATTTAGAAGATCATTACACCTCTTACGAGCCGCCACCTCCTTCTCGCCAGGCCGAGGCCCCCCTTCGTTCAGAGACAACCTCTCCATCTGTATTCCAAGTGCCATATCAGCGGCTGTCGGTCCCTGACTATCTGCGCTCGGCACGTCTTTGCGGGCACCCTTATCAAGAAGCAATTTCACTACGGCATCATTACCCGCGAGGACTGCCAGGTGCATCGCCGTTAGCCCCAAGCTTTCCTCAACAGCATCAAGCTGTTTCGGATCATGAAACTTCGATAGTAGCTCATTCATAATCTCGCGGTTTGCACTCCAATCGATGTCGGTCCAGTCCAGCTCAGCCGCCTCGGTTGCACCCGTCCCGCGGAACTCGGCGTCGATGTGAGCGGCTGCAGCGCGGTGGAGCGCCGTCCACTGCCGGGTTGGCTCGACGATGAAATTCAAAAAGTGTGCGCTGCCAAGGAGGTAGCGGAGACGTGCGATTGAATTTCGCGCGTTGGAGGCGATGACATGGCCCAAGATAGTTGTGGGGTTTGTGAAGCTCAGGTGGCCGCTGCTCAGGCTGGTCGAGTTGATATCAGCGCCATGCGATATGAAGCATTCAGCGAGTTTAAATTGGTCGTTCTGCACGGCCACGAGTAGCGGGGACTCGGTTCTGCCTAACTCGCCCGGCAAGCAATCAAGAGGCGCGCCGTAGTCGAGAAGGGGTTCGACGAGTCGCGTATCGTTTTGTCCTGCGTACGCCAGTACATGGAGAGCGGTCCACGTTGAAGCTTGTCCACTGAAGGGATTCTTAGAGGCTTCTGTGGCGTGTGCCCCATGCTCAAGGAGAAGGTTGACCATCGTGGGACGATTCCATCGAACTGCCTCCAGGAGCGGCGTTCGCAGATCAACGCCGCAAGCGCGGTTAATGTCAGCCGTTTTGAACGCACCAACGTCTTGGGATTGAAGCACTTCTTCATCGTAGTTTTCTCCAGCTTTCATGACATCAGCTCCGTGCTTGAGGAGATATTCAACCAATTCGTCTCGGGCTAGTGAGATGGCCAAGTAGAGAAGCGTTTGGTTGAAGCCGCCGTAGCCGTTGGGAGAGGCAACCCTGCTGGTCCTTGGCAATAGACACTGGAATGTTGATTCCATCGCCTGTTGGTATCTCGGACCATGGTAGAGGATCATGTCGAATAGGCTGCTGCCGTAAACAGCCTGCTGAAGGAGGCTTGTCACCAAGAAGCCCCCGTGTTTGTCTGCCCCTTGTTCGAGGTTGAATTGCTCGATGGCATGGATCATTAACTCCAAGCATTCTGAACGAAGCTGCGATGCTGCAATTTCTAACGCACTTCTTGCTCCAGGCCACGATGTATTGCACGTCCTCGGATCGGCGGTGTGGGATAGCAAGAATCTGACAATTTTGGGACGGTCACAGTGAGTCGCTAGGTCACACATCAGTCCCTCTAATGCACCCCAAGTCTAGATCATGTAGTTTGTGAAAGGCATGAGGATGGATATAGACAGAAAACACTCACCCCATCCGATTGGATGACCCTCCGGGAGCCGATCAATATCTAGCGATGCCGGAAACGCGCCTTGGTACGCGATGAACGTGGTAGTCTTAGCATTTACATCCGCGCCGGCTTGGATCAGCGCTGGGCCAACGCTTTCGATCTCTTGATCATCAAATGATATCAGCCAGTGAAGCGGAGACTCTCCATTCCGTGCCACCGACGCGGTTGCTCCATTGGAAGTGAGCCACAAGACCGTGTCATGATGGCCTGCGCGGCAAGCACACAGAAGCGGCGTCTCGCCTTGATCGTTGAGCTGATTAACTTCAAGTGAGGGAAAGTGGTTCAGGAGAGCCCCGATGGCTTCCGTTTGACCGCAACTTGCGGCCACATGAAGAATGCGGTCACCTCTCTTGTTGGCTGTGTAGTCAGCGATGGAATCGAACTGAGAAAAGTTCTCAAGCAAGATGGGAATGTTTCCAAAGGTTCTGATCCACATATTGTGAGCAAATCCGTGAAGCATTTCCGTCTTGAAAAAGAAATTCGCGCCTGTGCCTGCGAGGACGTCACGAATGGTTTTCTTTGTTTTCTCGTATGTTTCCTTGGAGATCATGGCGAGATCTTCGAGGGCAGTTCTTGAACCACGCAGGGCCATTAGTTCCAGGGTTTCAATTACGCTGTCTGGGTTATCAGGCGTGCGCCCGATGGCATGCGCGATTCGGTATCCATATGCTGACGCCAGTGGATGTTTCGCTCCCCAAGCATTAAAGAGCCATCGCAATGCTTGTGATGTATCCTTGTCTACACCGTATCCGTTGATGTAGAGAGCTGTGAGGAGGAAAGCCTCCGGTGGGTTTATCATACCTTTCTCAGCCTCACCCTCGCCTCTTTGGATGTATGTTGTTGTCAGGTACCTCTGAACAGAAGGGTCCATCCCCGTCCAGTGGCGCCACGTGAAATAGTGTTGCTATGCGAGATGAGCTTTCTATGAATTCGACGAGCAAGGCTATTGTGACCTACATTCAGGTTCGATTTCAACACTTGATTCGGCTCCGCACTGTTTCGGTTAGTTTCTTATCATGTATCGCCAGTTGGTAATATGAGTACCTATCCTGAGTAAACGAACCAATGTGGCCCAGGGCGACCATGATTTGTTCGAGGTCTCTTTGGTGTGGCTCATTCGATAATCCTATTGTTACAGCTCTTTTCATCGCATCGTATAAGCCCGAACGTTGAACAATTGCGATCAGCTGTTCCTTCAGTGGCTCCAACGCTTGGAAAAACATGGGTGGAATGGAACACAGAATCTTTTCAATGTCGTCAATGCCAACTGCTGGGTGGTGGGTCTGCGCGTTGTTCTGCTGCAATTGCTGCTGGAGAGACTGGAGGCGTTGGAGGAACTGGCCGCTGTCGCCATAGGTAGTGGCCCTAATGGCTTTCAAGTAGCATACAGAAATATCTGCCTGGGCAGCTAGTCCTCCAGTCTCCTTCAACTTCTCCGCTTCCGCGTAGAAATCTTCGCCTTGCTTGGATGGGTCCACGAGGAGTTTGAAAATGTTTTGACCATGTGCGAATGTACACCAGATGAAGAGGGACAATGAGTATATGTCGGTGTACTTTGCGTCTGATGCCTTGACTGCTTTCTTCGCCTCGGGGGCTTTCCACGGCCGGGTTCCTCCTAGTAAGAGGCTGCTCCTTTCAGTGTTGATTACCTGGGAGTAGCCGAAGTCATTCACTTTTGCTCTGTACTTGTGTTCCGCGTCTGCGAATATCAAGACATTCTGCGCCTTAATGTCACCATGAACGATACCGCATGAATGAAGCATATGAAGACCTCTGCAGACATCAAGGCAGAGCTTGCGCCGAGTCTCTACACCGAGATACTCTCTTTGTTGCAGCTGCCAGAGGCTCCCATATTCCGCAAACTCCACCATGAGAACTGGTAGTTTCTGCGAAGAATTAAACGGGTTTGCGCCCCATGCCAGTCCGAGAAAGTCAACTAAGTTGGGGTGTTGCAAGATCGGGCGGTGCGTCGAGAGATAGAGCTCCATGATTGCCGCGTCTATGGCGTGCCGGGACGCTTGGGTGGCTTCACCTTTATCTGAAAACTCGATAACAGCCACTTTGTAGGCGACTACCTCCGGCAGCTTGCGTTTATCTCTGATCTCGATCAAGAGGCCATCCATGTTTGTACGCGACGTGAGAGGCTTCTGGGGCGGAATGCGACGTCGATACACGGTGAAGCTTGCGCCCCGGCCGGCGTATGAAGCGCTGTCCACGGCTTGCGCATTTGAAAATACTGGAGGGACCGATAATGTCACGACATTGTCGGCCAAGAACGCTCGGTATGCAAAGTCCAGGGCGTTCGGGATGAAGCGCGCATCGTCTAGGGTTGAAGGATCATATGGTTTGAAGGTCGTAGGATCGGAGGTTTCGTCCCTAAAAGACGTCAGATTTCTTCCTGATGAGGAATCCATTTCGTTTGAGAGAATTAGTGATTAGAAGATAGAGGTCCAAGCTGCTTAGCTCGAGGCGTGAAGGAGGAATGTTGGTCCGGTTTCTGACCAGGCGGGGAACCTTAAAT